TGACGTCACTGTAGTATATGTATGCAGTCGCTGACAAAAACAGTGTATGTCTATAACAACAGCTGACAAAAACAGTATATGTAAATAGTAACAGCTGACAAAAACAGTATATGTACATAATTACAGCTGACAAAAACAGTATATATCTATAATAACAGCTGACAACATCAGTATATGTATATGATATCAGCTGACAACAACAGTATATGTCTATAATTACAGCTGACAACAACAGTATATGTATATGATTCAACACTATTTAAAATAATATCAGCTGACAACAACAGTACCTATATGTAAATACAGCTGACAACAACAGTATATGTCTATAATTACAGCTGACAACAACAGTATATGTATATGATATCAGCTGACAACAACAGTATATGTCTATAATTACAGCTGACAACAACAGTATATGTCTATAATTACAGCTGACAACAACAGTATATGTCTATAATTACAGCTGACAACAACAGTATATGTATATAATTACAGCTGAAAACAACAGTACCTATATGTAAATACAGCTGACAACAACAGTATATGTATATAATATCAGCTGACAACAACAGTATATGTCTATAATTACAGCTGACAACAACAGTATATGTATATAATATCAGCTGACAACAACAATATATTTATATAATATCAGCTGTCAACAGCAGTTTATGTCTATAATTACAGCTGACAACAACAGCATATGTATATAATATCAGCTGACAACAACAGTATATGTCTATAATTACAGCTGACAACAACAGTATATGTATATAATATCAGCTGGCAACAACAGTATATGTCTATAATTACAGCTGACAACAACAGTATATGTATATAATTACAGCTGACAACCACAGTACATGTGTACTACAACAGCTGACAACAATAGTATATGTCTATAATTACAGCTGGCAACAACAGTATATGTCTATAATTACAGCTGACAACAACAGTATATGTCTATAATATCAACTGACAACAACAGTATATGTATATAATATCAGCTGGCAACAACAGTATATGTCTATAATTACAGCTGACAACAACAGTATATGTATATAATTACAGCTGACAACCACAGTACATGTGTACTACAACAGCTGACAACAATAGTATATGTCTATAATTACAGCTGGCAACAACAGTATATGTCTATAATTACAGCTGACAACAACAGTATATGTCTATAATATCAACTGACAACAACAGTATATGTATATAATATCAGCTGGCAACAACAGTATATGTCTATAATTACAGCTGACAACAACAGTATATGTATATAATTACAGCTGACAACCACAGTACATGTGTACTACAACAGCTGACAACAATAGTATATGTCTATAATTACAGCTGGCAACAACAGTATATGTCTATAATTACAGCTGACAACAACAGTATATGTCTATAATATCAACTGACAACAACAGTATATGTATATAATTACAGCTGACTGCTAGATATTGGAGGTAACTATATAAAGATTTCTCAGGAAAATTGTAATAATAGTTTTTGGAAAGATGTTTTGGGAGCTTGGCATAGATTAGATAACTCAGTTAACATGAAACTACTAAAGGGGAAGTCACTCTTGCAAACACCTATAAGGCATAATGATAATGTAACAATTGGTGGCAAACCAGATTTTTATCCGAGATGGTATAAAAGGCATTTACTTAATAGGAGACTTCATTAAGGACTACAACACAAATACGTTCTTTACATATGTAACTCAGATAGAGAAACCATTGAACATTTGTTTTGTGAATGTGATCAAACTCAAAATCTTTTTCAAAGTTTAGAATTGTTATTAAAAGCTCTTTTATTCCGTTTACTTTACACAAAATACATCCTATTTTTTGGCAAGATCAATACTAAAAACTCTACATAATATAAAATTGACAATCAAATCATCTCACTAATTTAACGATATCTTTACAGAACTAGATGCCTACACAAGTCACTGAATATTAATGCTCTGATTTTTACTATATTTGACCATTATAAAGTTCAAAGGTACAGTTAAGGGGAAATAGCTAGAGAAATTTGTAAATGATTGGAAGAAGTGGGAAAATTGATCCAAATGTTATAATGACACATTTATTACCTAACATGTATTGTATTGTCTTGTCAAAAGGTTACGTAAACTTCAGTTTCTGTCTCCAGTCTTTGACAGATGCCCTTTTGTGCAGTATTTATATACAATAGCATATATGATTTTTCATGTATCAAATATCCACCACCACCCAGTATCATGTAGCTTCAGGAACATACATTTTACTTATTATTCTTTATCTCCTTTTCTATGTCTCTTCCTCTCTCGCTTTCTCTCTCTCAGGCTGTGTTTTTTCACACAGAAAAAAAGTATTGGACGGCGTCAGTAGTTATCATAGGATTCGAACCTACTAAGATTTGTTTTTCGAGCAAATTTTGAAACCATTTCAATAACGAAGTAACCACACGACTGAGCCAACACTAATCGATGTGGATGTATAATACCTTCATATACCTGCGCTGTGGTTTAGAAATCTATAAATAGGACTATATATTAAACGTCTCCTCATTGGTTGTTGGGTTCGGTTATTGTCAATGATTTTAAATCGGAAAATCACTCGGGTCTCTCTTGGGTCTACAATGGTTTTCCCGCCGAATTCATATCTAAACAGGATATCTTATGTATGTACGTACGTGATGTATTTATCGAATGATGAATAAACGCCATTTATAGCTAGACCTGCACGTAGTAGAGGTAAATATAATAATTTACGTACCTGTAAGTGTGTTGGCTCAGCTGCGTGGTTACATCGTTTGACTAATTCAAAGTTTGTTCACCGTACAAAACTGTAGTTGGGTGTAGTTGTTCTACAGCCACTATATTAACCACGAGCGCTACCCAACGCTTTTCCCATTTTTACAGTCAGATCTCCTGTCAATTACATTAGAATTAATATCGGAAACAAAGATCTCTAAAAAGGTGTAACAGTGATGTATATTGATGACAGCGATTCGATGCTGAGCGAGAACAGATATATATATACATTGTTTTCATCGATTTGTTGTTGTTTTTTTTTTATTCCTACAGTTAAATAGTCTCTAAAATTAATATTTTGTCAAACATGTTCTGTGTTTCTTTTAACTACTTTCTGACCGCCTGTGTCAATATTTTATGGGGAGAGGGAGAGAGAGAGAGAGAGAGAGAGAGAGAGAGAGAGAGAGAGAGAGAGAGAGAGAGAGAGAGAGAGAGAGAGAGATAGAGAGAGAGAGAGAGAGAGAGAGAGAGAGAGAGAGAGAGAGAGAAAGACAGAGACAGATAGAGAGAGAGAGAGAGAGAGGTGGGGCTTAGCCATGGTGTAACAGTTGTATATTGTGCAAAGGAAAAATAGAAATAATTCAAATACCTAAGAGGTGACAATGAAGTTTAGACACATGAAAAAAATGTCAAAGGATTTTCAGCATCGGCATGCTAATTTTCACCGAATAGCAGTATTTCAGGTGGCATGGGAATATTTTAAATACCGAAACGACAAATAGGAAGTTCTGAGAAAAATTCGACGAAAAGGTTTCTTTGGTTGAATTTTCTTGATTACATGATCAAAATAGACTAGAGACAAGATTTCTACACGATAAATAAAATCTTAGTAAACTGCACTCCATCCTTAATTTTACATTGTGAATCTACTACCTCTATAATAACTAGACGGAGCTTTGAGGCTTGGTACATTCAAATGATTTTTCAATCCTGTTAATGGTTGATTACATTTTATAGAATCCGGCAACGTATTCCAGAAATTAATTACAAACGATAGAAAGGATTTCATGTAAAGGCTTTTTTCGACAAGAAAGAGATCGAAAAAATTTATGTTTACGTCTTTGCTCTTTGCCTGTCTCAATATAAAGTTTCACTCCTCTAGTTAGTCGTGTTCCGCCAGGATCAATACGCACTGTTTTCAGCTAGATATCTTCTAACATGCCACATTGAGTATTTGTAAGATTATCTAAGGTGATGTCGCCATGCTTAAAAAAATAACAAAAAAGTCGGATTATATTAAAATACAAAGCCTGAAGAGAGGTAAGATCTATGGTGAACAGACATCAACGGTAGAATATTCAGTTTTGGAGAATTGTTAGATCTGGTGAGTCCAACAACCATTTTTGATAAATATACATTGTATAAGATATGAGAAACTTTCCTTTAATTATTGCATATGTTAAACAAAGAAAACATCAGAGCTGTAGCGCTATTTTTGAGACAAACTTAAATGAAAGCAACAAAAAGCTTAAGAAACGTGGGTATTATAACATACTAACCGTCAATGGTAGCTAACACATGATAAGATATACAAGGAGAGAGTAAAACACACAATAACATAACACCACATAATTATATATATCATGCACTGATAACGATTTAAAACGAAATATACTAAAACAAGATTATGACATAATAGTGAGTACCTGCATATCACGCAAGGGTTGCTACACAGAGAACTAAGACACTATAAATGTAATGTAAATAATCGCTTACATAGCAAATGAGTAAAAATTAACATGGAATATATCAATATAGTGTAAATTAAAAGATAACAAGGTTGAATAAGTAATAAAACATTGTGCTATAATAATTTTTAGAAATAAAAGGGTTATCACTATGGTGATAATTATCCATACATAAAGCGTCATGCAAAGTTAGGCTAATTAAGTTAAATCTAATTCAGAAATCATGATACATCAAATACAAGAAGCACATAACATCTGAAAAAGCAAGTAAGTGTATTAATATCGAAAGTTCGTTTTTCCTTGATATTCCTTGCAGATACTAAAAGCATACACACACGGCAAAACAATAATAATAATAAATATAATAATAACGACGACAGTTACACCGCAGGCATAGACCTAGTATATACGAGAATTAAGGTTCAGATCCGGATCTCTACTCCCGTCGTTCGTGTCTTTTACTGACAATTCAAAATGTCTGCGCCCATGGGGTTCCTCACCGGTTGAGATAGAGGAGTCATCCTATGTGATCGTGTTGTTCTTCCAAAATGTTCATTTGCCCAGGATGTAGGAAATTTCTCAGAATCACTAGACACGCCAAAGTTTTGTGGAAAGAAGCATTATTTCAGCACACCCCAGGGTAAAAAACACTGCGTGTCGTTCTTTCCGCTTTTGACATTGAACAGTCGGGGATCCGCAGTAAATTAACCAGTCTGGAGTCGATGAACTTCAAATCATTGTAAAAAAGTCGATAGAAATTCAGAATAATTAGGACTAGTGTGTGCGTGCGTGCGTGTGTGTGTGTGCTATAATTACTGGCTGGCCATGATACAGTGTAGAAGTTGAGAGAACAGGTCACCTTATATTAGCCTCGCTTACTACAGATTTGTTGCTGATGGTCACATCAAGGATAGAAACTAGAGGCGATTGAGATGCTTCCTTGGATATATTGAACTTTGGATGTTCTTGTGTTTGGGGTCGAAGACTTAGTGAAGGAGGGAGTAGTGTAGATGTTGAGAAAACAGGTGGCCTTACTAGCTTCAGCTAGTGGGAATTTCCCTTTAGTCAAGCAGTAGAGATCAAAAGGCCACTTATAGTTAAACTCCGCTGAGGGCAGGATGTTTTTTTCATTACTCCTTCCTATTACATAGTAACTGTTTGACTTTGTGAACATGCTGAGTTCCCAAGCTCTGAAACTTCACTCCTGTGTCAGCAGCTGCGTTCATTGGTGGATGGTACAAGGCAAATTCTATGCAAGTTATAGCAATATCAATGTGAAGTAAATGTCAATATTTCATTAATGAAACAGAACTTGATAATTTCTGTCAAGTTTTGCAGGAAACTGCCCAGTTGAAATGTTTAACTAAGCACCATTATCGTCACATCCATGTATTCTGAACATGGAGGTATGTCCCTCAACTATTGCTTTTAGTCGTGTGTACCTTAATATGCTGAAGTTATGAGATTTTGGTGTGTTTACACAGTAACGTACCGCTGTTAAAGTGGAATACTGCTGTAATAGTGGAATTGGCTTTAGCTAGGACTTTGTCAATTCTCAGTCCCCATTGACTGTCAGTCTTATCATTCTACTGTCTGACAGAATGAAATGAAGGGATGTAACTCTGGGAAATCACAATGGACTTTTCCATACCTGTTGAAAATAAGTAACAATGACTAGGCTAACTCTGAACTTACCTGAAGAAATTTGATATCTTTATCATAGTTTGAAAACAAAAATTGTTCTCCCAGATCAATCTTGGTCTTTGCCAGCACCTGTGACATACTATAAATATGCATGTTTTAGTGGTAATCAGATGTTAGTGCTGAAAGTATTGCACTAAAATATGATTGAGCTAATTGCTGTTTCTATTTGCTGCATGGTTTATCATTGTGCAGATTTGCTAAAAAGGTATTATGTGCTACAATTTGATTGCAACAAATTAAGTATGTTTACTGTATATGGACACTGAGGACTAATTACTCTCTGTGATTACACCCATTTGCAAATCAAGTAAATGTTGAACTTAATTAAGTCAGTGTATATCGTCAGATAAAACTGATGCCTGTATAAGTGTGGTGTAGAATTAATTCCTCACCCAGTGTCTCGTGTCACTTTTTCTGACATGAAAAGTGAAAGAACTTTTGCAATTGACTTACAAATGTGTAGATTTTTCAACAACATTATCCTTATTTTGTTTCATATCTAATATTGAAAATTGACCAGAAACTGAGATAGACCAAAACTGGAACTTAAATTTTGATATGTAGCCTAACATTACATTAGTTATTTGGCAGTACCCATGGTATGGAGTCATGGAAGTTGGATTGTGAATTTTAAGATTAACTAGGTGATACATACACCTAGATTTAATGCTGTTTGTGAGAAATTAGAAATCTTGTTTATTTTATTATATACCATCTGTAAATATTATTATGTTGAAGATACAGAGAATGACTCTTCTTTTTCAGAGATGTAAATATAAACAGACAAATCAACAGGTTCTTTTCTTCTTCTTCTACAACATTGGCTAAAGCTGGGGTACGTAATTATGACTTTGTGGTTTGTTTTAGACATTGTTTTAGTAGTAATTGGAAGTATATTTCATCTATGGACTGATAATTTTTCTAAAAATATTGAAACTAATTAAATCTAATTATCTTTTGCATTGATATAGATATGTATTTATTCCTAACATCTTTTCAAATGATATATCTCAATGAATGCTGCCCAATGTTTTGTGTTAGGATGTTAGGATGCTAGATTCATTATTACGTATAAAATTGAAACTGATTAAGCAGCTTAAGGTTATTTATTTCATTCAAAATGGACAAATCGTGTTAAAACATACTGCCATTTTTTTGCTCACCTGGTCCAAAGGACAAGTGAAGTTTTGGCATACTGTAGTGTTTGTCATCCATCCTCTGGTGTTGTCTGTCAACTTTTTCTACAAATTGCTAATAGTCATGAATGACGAAGTAGATTTTGCACTCATTTTAAGCATCCTTGGGTGAAGAAGGATCGGTTTTGTTTAAATAGTGAGCCTCAATCATCTACCTAGGGCAGGAGGGGCATGGCCCTATAGGGAAAATAGAGCAAATTGTTTAAGATCCCTCTCCTCCTGGTGGAATGATCAAATGTTGCCCAAATTTGGTCTGAAGCATTCTTGCTTGATGGAAAATTATTTCCTTATGCAAGAGGGGCGAGTCTGTAAGGAGAAATAGAGCAATTTCTTTGAAACCCAACTCCTCCTGTAGGAATGTTTGGATTTTGCCCAAATGGCCTGAAGCATCATTTGGAGAAGGGAAATTGAATGTATGAATGATGGGTTTCGGCACTTTGGGGTAGGTGGGGTGGAACACAATAAGGGAAATACAGCAAAGTCTTCAATTTTGTATATATGATGCAACTGTTCCCCATTGGCAGAGGGGTAGTGCCTAATAGGGGAAATAAACATGATTTTTGTTGGTTGTTTTTCCACTAAGTTTGTTTGAAGAATTATCAGCAAACTAAACCAGATGAGCAATACAGGCCCTCTGGATCTCTTGTTAGCCTTTTCTTACTCAACATGTTTAAGTTCAACAATTGTACAATGTACAAGGTATATAGTTTGGACTGTATGTGGTTAACTTAAACAATATTTTTTGTTCGAGATATACACTGTGTACTGTATACTGAAAAAAATGTTAATTTTTGGGGGTTTCTACTCTTCACCATTTCCGGGACGGCATAAAATCACAAAAAAGTAGAAAATAAAACAGAGAAAATCATAGTCTGTTTCATGACCTCTTTAATAGGCCATTTCCAAATTTCATGACATAACATTGGTACTGTTTTAAGATTTTAATAAAACCACAAACAGGTAAACCTTAAAAATACCCTTTACACTCAAATCTGAATCATTTTGCCAAAAAATATTATGCATCTTCATTAATTATCATTAGATATTTGTTTTGAGTGGTTGATTATTCAATATATACAGTGTCTTCATTATTCATTTGTGTGTGTTTTCCTTAGACCTGTGTATGAACAAGGTATTCTATGTTAATTTTTTTAGGAAATAATTTTGTTTTGATGTCAATTTTCAGGATGAAATTAACCTTGCTAAATTTTCTCCAGAAAATATACGAAACTTTAGTATAATAGCCCATGTGGATCATGGAAAGAGTACATTGGCAGACAGACTTCTTGAAATAACAGGTAAAATTGTATTAAAAGACCTTAAAAATGATGAGAATACAATAATCGGTGGTTATGAAATTTCTTGATTTTTCCAATTTGAGCAAAAAATAATGAAGGTATTTAGAAGCTGTAAATTTGAAGCACAAGATCAAAATGTTCCTCCAAATATATTTTACAGTGTAATTTGTCTAAAACTTGTACAAAGCATATTTCAGGGGTATATTTCTCCTGTTAGGTTAACTTGAAATGTCAGGCAAGTTTCAATGAACAAAGTAAGAGATAATATGCTGTTTTATGATAATGTCTTTGCAAATGAGTTGTTTTTAAACCTGACCTTCACCTTGAGTAAACAGTAATATAAAACAGTATATAATTGACTTGCCATTAAACACCTTTCTATTGTCTAAAAAAAAATGTTGGCATTCAGAGATCATTCCATCATAGATAGAAGTTTTCTATTTGTGAAATAGATCAATTCAAATTTTAGTTTTAGAAAACCTGTTATTACTATGCCTACAGCTGAGTTACATGTATCACAAAAGATCTAATTTACAAAATGGCGAGTAAGAATATCTAAAGGAAATCTTACATTCATCAATTTCTTATTTTCATACATTCTAATTTTGAGCTGTCATTCATATTTCCATCAGGTGCTATACCTAAGAATGTCAGAAACCAGCAGGTATTGGACACCCTACAGGTGGAGAAGGAGCGAGGCATCACTGTCAAGGCTCAGACAGCTTCACTGTTCCACGAATATAAAGGACAAACCTACCTCCTAAACCTTATAGACACTCCAGTATGTAAATCTGAATCCAGATCTTCGTTTTACACAGGTTATTAGGATGAAGGTCAGACAAACCTACCTCCTGAACGTTATAGACACTCTGGTATCTAAATCTAGGCCCAGGTCTTAGTTTTACACTGGTTATTGGGGTGACAGTTTTACACTGGTTATTGGGGTGTTTTAAACTGGTTATCTAGGCCCAGGTCTTAGTTTTACACTGGTTATTGGGGTGACAGTTTTACGCTGGTTATTGGGGTGACAGTTTTACACTGGTTATTGGGGTGACAGTTTTACACTGGTTATTGGGGTGAACGCTGGTTATCCTGTTATAGACACTCTGGTAGGCCCAGGACAGTTTTACACTGGTTATTGGGGTGACAGTTTTACACTGGTTATTGGGGTGACAGTTTTACACTGGTTATTGGGGTGACAGTTTTACACTGGTTATTGGGGTGACAGTTTTACACAGGTTATTGGGGTGACAGTTTTACACTGGGGTGACTACACTGGTTATTGGGGTGACAGTTTTACACTGGTTATTGGGATGAAGGTCAGACAAACCTACCTCCTGAACGTTATAGACACTCTGGTATCTAAATCTAGGCCCAGGTCTTAGTTTTACGCTGGTTATTGGGGTGACAGTTTTACACTGGTTATTGGGATGAAGGTCAGACAAACCTACCTCCTGAACATTATAGACACTCTGGTATCTAAATCTAGGCCCAGGTCTTAGTTTTACGCTGGTTATTGGGGTGACAGTTTTACACTGGTTATTGGGGTGACAGTTTTACACTGGTTATTGGGGTGACAGTTTTACACTGGTTATTGGGGTGACAGTTTTACACTGGTTATTGGGGTGACAGTTTTACACTGGTTATTGGGGTGACAGTTTTACGCTGGTTATTGGGATGAAGGTCAGACAAACCTACCTTGGTTATAGACACTCTGGTATCTAAATCTAGGCCCAGGTCTTAGTTTTACACTGGTTATTGGGGTGACAGTTTTACACTGGTTATTGGGGTGAACAGTTTTACACTAGACACTCTGGTTATAGGCCCAGGTCAGTTTTACACTGGTTATTGGGGTGACAGTTTTACACTGGTTATTGGGGTGACAGTTTTACACTGGTTATTGGGGTCTTAGTTTTACACTGGTTATTGGGATGGACAAAGGTGACAAACCTGGTATCTAAATCTAGGCCCACTTAGTTTTACCTGGTTAACAGTTTTACTGGTTAGACACTGGTTATTGGGGTGACAGTTTTACACTGGTTATTGGGGTGACAGTTTTACACAGGTTATTGGGATGAAGGTCAGACAAACCTACCTCCTGAACGTTATAGACACTCTGGTATCTAAATCTAGGCCCAGGTCTTAGTTTTACATTGGGGTGACAGTTTTACACTGGTTATTGGGGTGACAGTTTTACACAGGTTATTGGGGTGACAGTTTTACACTGGTTATTGGGGTGACAGTTTTACACTGGTTATTGGGGTGACAGTTTTACACTGGTTATTGGGATGAAGGTCAGACAAACCTACCTCCTGAACGTTATAGACACTCTGGTCTAGTCACAGGTCTTAGTTTTACACAGGTTATTGGGGGCAGTTTTACACTGGTTATTGGGGTGACAGTTTTACACTGGTTATTGGGATGAAGGTACTGAACGTTATAGACACTCTGGTATCTAAATCTAGGCCCAGGTCTTAGTTTTACACAGGTTATTGGGGTGACAGTTTTACACAGGTTATTGGGGTGACAGTTTTACACTGGTTATTGGGATGAAGGTCAGACAAACCTACCTCCTGAACGTTATAGACACTCTGGTATCTAAATCTAGGCCCAGGTCTTAGTTTTACACTGGTTATTGGGGTGACAGTTTTACACTGGTTATTGGGGTTAGTTTTACACTGGTTACACTGGTTATTGGGGTGACAGTTTTAACGTTGGGGTGACAGTTTTACGTTATAGACACTCTGGTTATTTGGGTTATGACACTCTGGTCTAGGCCCAGGTCAGTTTTAACCTACCAGTTTTACCTGAACGTTATAGACACTCTGGTATCTAAATCTAGGCCCAGGTCTTAGTTTTACGCTGGGTATTGGGGTGACAGTTTTACTCTGGTTATTGGGGTGACAGTTTTACACGCTGGTTATTGGGGTGACAGTTTTGGTTATTGGGGTGAAGGTTCAGACAAACCTACCTCCTGAACGTTATAGACACTCTGGTTATTAGGCCCAGGTGACAGTTTTACACTGGTTATTGGGGTGACAGTTTTACACTGGTTATTGGGGTGACAGTTTTACACTGGTTATTAGGATGAAGGTCAGACAAACCTACCTCCTGAACGTTATAGACACTCTGGTATCTAAATCTAGGCCCAGGTCTTAGTTTTACGCTGGTTATTGGGATGAAGGTCAGACAAACCTACCTCCTGAACGTTATAGACACTCTGGTATCTAAATCTAGGCCCAGGTCTTAGTTTTACGCTGGTTATTGGGGTGACAGTTTTACACTGGTTATTGGGGTGACAGTTTTACACTGGTTATTGGGGTGAAGGTCAGGCAAACCTACCTCCTGAACGTTATAGACACTCTGGTATCTAAATCTAGGCCCAGGTCTTAGTTTTACACTGGTTATTGGGGTGACAGTTTTACACTGGTTATTGGGGTGACAGTTTTACACTGGTTATTAGGATGAAGGTCAGACAAACCTACCTCCTGAACGTTATAGACACTCTGGTACACTAAATCTAGGCCCAGGTCTTAGTTTTACACTACAGGTTATTGGGATGAAGGTCTTAGTTTTACACGTTATAGACACTCTGGTTATTAGGGTTTACGCTGGTTATTTACGCTGGTTATTGGGGTGACAGTTTTACACTGGTTATTGGGATGAAGGTCAGACAAACCTACCTCCTGAACGTTATAGACACTCTGGTATCTAAATCTAGGCCCAGGTCTTAGTTTTACACTGGTTATTGGGGTGACAGTTTTACACTGGTTATTGGGGTGACAGTTTTACACTGGTTATTGGGGTGACAGTTTTACACTGGTTATTAGGATGAAGGTCAGACAAACCTACCTCCTGAACGTTATAGACACTCTGGTATCTATCTAGGCCCAATCTGGTTAGGACAAACCTTTTACCCAGTTTTACACAGGTTATTATTCAGACAAACCTACCTCCTGAACGTTATAGACACTCTGGTAAATTTACAGTTTTACACTGGTTATTGGGGTGGTTATGAAGGTTCAGACAAACAGTTTTACACTGGTTATTGGGGTGACAGTTTTACACTGGTTATTGGGATGAAGGTCAGACAAACCTACCTCCTGAACGTTATAGACACTCTGGTATCTAAATCTAGGCCCAGGTCTTAGTTTTACGCTGGTTATTGGGGTGACAGTTTTACACTGGTTATTGGGGTGACAGTTTTACACTGGTTATTGAACGTTATAGACACTCTGGTATCTAAATCTAGGCCCAGGTCTTAGTTTTACGCTGGTTATTGGGGTGACAGTTTTACACTGGTTATTGGGGTGACAGTTTTACGCTGGTTATTGGGGTGACAGTTTTACACTGGTTATTGGGGTGACAGTTTTACGCTGGTTATTGGGGTGATGGTTCAAACCTACCTCCAGAATCTTATAAACACTTTGGCATCTAAATCCACATGTAGGCCTAGACCTTAGGATTACACAAGTTGTGAGGGTGGATGGTTAGACAAACCTACATCCTGAATCTCTTAGAAATACTAATAAGGGTGGAAGGGTGGCGCAGTGGTAACACACTCGCTTTTCACCTAGCCGACCGGGGTTCGATTCCCGGAACGGACATGAAAAGGTAAGGGGTCACCTGCCCGACCACGTGGGTTTTCCCCGGGTTCTCCGGTTTCCTCCCACAATAAGACCCCTCGCGCGCTTACATACGGGCCAACAAGAGTGATTAGTATAAGTTGACATAACTTGTTCCGCAATTGTTGTAAAATAAATAAAGTTTAAAAAAGAATACTAATAAGTAATGGGGAGAGGCAGTGAAAAAATCCCATCTTTGAAGATATAGTGTGTTTCTTTGGATATATCACTGGTAAATCATGTTCCATTCTCAGTTTTACTATCAATAAAAATAATTTTTGTTTTGGAACAATAGAATGAAATCAAATTGATGTATGGCTTTGTAAGTCACGTAAACTTTTCTTTGTTATTTTTCTGTTTTCCAAAATGTTTACCATTGTATGTTTTAGTGCTAAAACATACATGTACAATTTAGTAAGAATTATATGTAAAGCACCAATCACTTTTCCATTGATTTTTTTTTGCTTGAATTTGTGACAATAGAAAAAAGAATTCTGTTTCTTTAGGGCCATGTAGACTTTAACTATGAGGTGTCAAGGTCACTTGCTGCCTGCCAGGGTGTTGTACTACTGGTGGATGCTAACCAGGTAAGTGACCTTTAGCTGAAAGTTATCAGGTATAGGTAATTGAACTGTAGCTGTACCTAACTTTAACCAGGTAAGTATGATATTGCTTACTCTAATCAGGTCAGTGACCTACATCATTAGATAACTCTTACCAGGTAAGTGGTCTAACCATGTAAGTATAACATAGCTACAGCTGGTAAATATAACCCAGTAAGTGTAGCATAGCTAACTTCAATGGAATAGTAAATATGACTTACTGCAATGCACTACATGTAGTAAATAGCTAATTCTGATGAGGTAGTAAAAAGCTAATTCTAATGTAGTGATAGGTAGCTAATCTTTATGAAGTGATGGCTAACTCTTTTTTTTTTTAACACATAAGAATAAAAAAATTGGGGCCGCATATATTTTTGGCTCCTGGTTTTCAAGGGCGAAGATATGACACAACCAAAATAAAATATTTTTATTGAAAATTTTGTATAGCAAGACTAAGCCATTATATGTAATAGTAAGACTAACAGAGAAGACTGAAAACTAGAGGAATGTTTATCCAAAATCACATCTACTGTGAGATGTCATAATGATTGCTGCAAGTTTTATTTTCTGTTTATTTCAGGGAGTTCAAGCACAAACCATGGCTAATTTCTTCCTGGCATTTGAAAGAAATTTAACTGTGATACCTTGCCTGAATAAGATAGATCTCTACAATGCAAAGCCAGAAATGGTCCTAGAACAGCTCCACAATGTGTTTGAGACAGACCCCAATGATGTACTAAAGGTACTGTAAAGTTGTTCAGTAGTGTCAATATTTCATGGTTCTTGTTGGAGCTAATTCACCAGGATTAGGCTTTGTGCAAGGCCAATTTTAGCAGTCACCTGGCAAGTATACCATATCCTTACATGTGTATACATCTTTACAGGGATTTATATCATAAATTTTTGAGAGTTTGACTCACTTTCAATAATTTAGCTGCTATATTTAATTACCTGGATTATTGCAAAATCAAGCCCCTCCACAGCCCTTCCCATGTCCCACTGCTTCACAAATATTTCCAACCGTAGGTTATGGTAAACATTATTATATTGCTATCTGCCCCTCCCTCCCCCCCTATTTTTGTTCATTCTGTATTAGGTAGTATTTGTTGAATTTAAGACTTTTTCAGCCTCTTTATACTATACTTTATCACTGGTACTGATTTTCAGGAACTTTTTGTTACAGATATCTGCCAAGGTTGGCACTGGTATAGAAGATTTATTAACAGCCATTATAGAAAGGATTCCCCCGTAAGTCTCTTTATACATATACTACTCCTCGTAGACTGTCAGTCAATGCAGTCACAGTTTAGATACATTATATTGTGACATTATAACCATATTGTATTAGTACTGCTTCTTGTTCTGGTTCTTCAATTAACTTATTGTCTGAACCATAACATTTAAAAACATTTGTAAATTGAAGACAGCTTGATGGCACTAAATTTACAGTGTACCTGCATCACTTAAAATGATATGCTGTGCACTGCTGTTTGGTCATTGTGACCCTGACCTCAGGGTCAAAGGTTGAATAAGTGCACATTGCTCTAAAAAATGTTTGTCCAGGCAATAACATTAAAACTATAGATATGCAAGTATTAATGAAAGTTGTTGTACACCTTTATCACTCACTCGGCCACAGATGATTTGCCGTGATCTCTCATCAGGTCATTGTGACAAATGACTTTGAATGAAGCGAGACATTGCATTAGTACTGGTTTTATAGTTCTTCTTTCTTCTGATACAGTCATCTGGTGTATAACTTTTTAACAGTTATAAAGAAAATAACTTGATGAAACTTGTAACATATACCATTTTCACATCATTGGGTTATTGCAATCTTCATTTTCAAGTCAAAGGTCAATTGAGTGCAGAAATATTTAATGTCTTATAAGGGAGAAAAGGTGACATAAAACTAGTGTTATGTTGTAGTGTAGTTACATTTTAGAATGGAATTTCAGGTTCGAGTTAAGGTTTTCATACATATTGTTGGATTTGTCACCTGAAGTTATCGTCCGGTTGTGTAGTGTTGCTATATTGTTAGGCTGTTGTAAAATTGTTTTTTGACTGATACTGTGAATCACTTAGATTCCTTGAAAACTTTGTAAACTTACCTGTTCAGATGTATTCACGAATACCTGATATGATAGAATACGATATCTTTGAAATTTTTTCTTTTCTTACTAATGGCCTTTGTTTACCTAATCCATACTGTGTATTTTTATAAAGTGAGATGAAGTATGAACTAGGTAATCGTATTCATTGGTGATGTTTTGTTTTCAGTCCTCCGGGAGACAGAGACAAACCCCTGAAATGTCTGGTATTTGACTCACAGTATGATCAGTACCGAGGAGCTGTGGGGAATGTTTTAGTGATGGACGGCAGTGTAAAGAAAGGTACAAGGACTTGTGGGGAGAAGTCATCACTGAATGGCGGTGTGGAGGGAGATATGTGGAGTTGTGGGGAATATGTTATCACTGAATGACAGTGTGGAGGGAGATATGAGGAGTTGTGGGGATTATGTCATCACTGAATGACAGTGTGGAGGGAGATATGAGGAGTTGTGGGGATTATGTCATCACTGAATGGCATTGTGGAGGGAGATATGAGGAGTTGTGGGGATTATGTCATCACTGAATGACAGTGTGGAGGGAGATATGAGGAGTTGTGGGGATTATGTCATCACTGAATGGCAGTGTGAGGGAAGATATGAGGAGTTGTGGGGATTATGTCATCTGAACATTGTGGAGTTGTGGGGATGACTGAATGAAGTGTGGAGGGAGATATGAGGAATTGTGGGGATTATGTCATCACTGAATGACAGTGTGAGGGAGATATGAGGAGTTGTGGGGAATATGTCATCACTGAATGGCATTGTGGAGGGAGATATGAGGAGTTGTGGGGAATATGTCATCACTGAATGGCATTGTGGAGGGAGATATGAGGAGTTGTGGGGAATATGTCATCACTGAATGGCATTATGGAGGGAGATATGAGGAGTTGTGGGGATTATGTCATCACTGAATGACAGTGTGGAGGGAGATATGAGGAGTTGTGGGGAATATGTCATCACTGAATGACAGTGTGGAGGGAGATATGAGGAGTTGTGGGGATTATGTCATCACTGAATGACAGTGTGGAGGGAGGAGGAGTTGTGGGGATATGTCATCACTGAATCACTGAATGACTGAAGTGTGGAGGGAGATATGAGGAGTTGTGGGGATTATGTCATCACTGAATGACAGTGTGGAGGGAGATATGAGGAGTTGTGGGGATTATGTCATCATCACTGAATGACAGTGTGGAGGGAGATATGAGGAGTTGTGGGGATTATGTCATCACTGAATGACAGTGTGGAGGGAGATATGAGGAGTTGTGGGGATTATGTCATCACTGAATGACAGTGTGGAGGGAGATATGAGGAGTTGTGGGGAATATGTCATCACTGAATGACAGTGTGGAGGGAGATATGAGGAGATATGAGGAGTTGTGGGGATTATGTCATCACTGAATGACAGTGTGGAGGGAGATATGAGGAGTTGTGGGGAATATGTCATCACTGAATGACAGTGTGAGGGAAGATATGAGGAGTTGTGGGGAATATGTCATCACTGAATGGCATTGTGGAGGGAGATATGAGGAGTTGTGGGGATTATGTCATCACTGAATGACAGTGTGGAGGGAGATATGAGGAGTTGTGGGGATTATGTCATCACTGAATGACAGTGTGGAGGGAGATATGAGGAGTTGTGGGGGGAATGACAGTGTATGTGGGGATTATGTCATCACTGAATGACAGTGTGGAGGGAGATATGAGGAGTTGTGGGGATTATGTCATCACTGAATGACAGTGTGGAGGGAGATATGAGGAGTTGTGGGGATTATGTCATCACTGAATGACAGTGTGGAGGGAGATATGAGGAGTTGTGGGGATTATGTCATCACTGAATGACAGTGTGGAGGGAGATATGAGGAGTTGTGGGGATTATGTTATCACTGAATGACAGTGTGAGGGAAGATATGAGGAGTTGTGGGGATTATGTCATCACTGAATGACAGTGTGGAGGGAGATATGAGGAGTTGTGGGGATTATGTCATCACTGAATGACAGTGTGGAGGGAGATATGAGGAGTTGTGGGGATTATGTCATCACTGAATGACAGTGTGGAGGGAGATATGAGGAGTTGTGGGGATTATGTCATCACTGAATGACAGTGTGAGGGAAGATATGAGGAGTTGTGGGGAATATGTCATCACTGAATGACAGTGTGAGGGAAGATATGAGGAGTTGTGGGGAATATGTCATCACTGAATGGCATTGTGGAGGGAGATATGAGGAGTTGTGGGGAATATGTCATCACTGAATGACAGTGTGAGGGAAGATATGAGGAGTTGTGGGGAATATGTCATCACTGAATGGCATTGTGGAGGGAGATATGAGGAGTTGTGGGGAATATGTCATCACTGAATGGCAAGGAGTTGTGGGGAATATGTCATCACTGAATGGCATTGTGGAGGGAGATATGAGGAGTTGTGGGGAATATGTCATCACTGAATGACAGTGTGGAGGGAGATATGAGGAGTTGTGGGGAATATGTCATCACTGAATGGCAGTGTGGAGGGAGATATGAGGAGTTGTGGGGAATATGTCATCACTGAATGGCATTGTGGAGGGAGATATGAGGAGTTGTGGGGATTATGTCATCACTGAATGACAGTGTGGAGGGAGATATGAGGAGTTGTGGGGATTATGTCATCATCACTGAATGACAGTGTGGAGGGAGATATGAGGAGTTGTGGGGAATATGTTAAAAACCAATCGATAATGTACATCATTGTAAATAATTGTCGTAGATATATAGAATTATATATAGAAGAGAGCAGAAAGGTTTGTACATCTGTAAATATAGGTATAACCAGTTATGTTTGATAAACTATAGAAAAAGAAGTCAGACTAGAAAAGTAAATACAGAAACATCCTTATGTTCCTTGGGAAGTCCCCCACTAAAGTTTATTCCTGCTGGACTTGCAGTGATGATAGAGTATAATATCCTATGGTCTCAAATTTTCAATCTCACATTGATTGTAAAGACAAGCTTAAAATATTGTTTTGGAATAAAAATCCCCAGCTTATGACTAGAATTTTACCCTCAGAAATTTGGGGTTTTTTTAATGTTTAATGGGTTTTTTTTTCTTCTTCTTTTTTTCAGGTGATAAAATCATGTCATTATTTTCAAGAAAATCATATGAAGTTCAGGGAACTGGCATTCTACATCCTAATGAGAAACTGGTGAATGTTTTGTAAGTACAGTTTAGGTATACAACAATGAAGTTCAGGGAACTGGCATTCTGCATCCTAATGAGAAACTGGTGAATGTTTTGTAAGTACAGTTTAGGTATACAACAATGAAGTTCAGGGAACTGGCATTCTGCATCCTAATGAGAAACTGGTGAATGTTTTGTAAGTACAGTTTAGGTATACAACAATGAAGTTCAGGGAACTGGCATTCTGCATCCTAATGAGAAACTGGTGAATTGTAAGTACAGTTTAGGTATACAACAATGAAGTTCAGGGAACTGGCATTCTGCATCCTAATGAGAAACTGGTGAATGTTTTGTAAGTACAGTTTAGGTATACAACATATTCACATCTTATTCACCGTCTGATTGCATGATTTCTCTGCCTTTGATATCAGTAAGTGAAGGTTTACAATTTAATTATTTTCATACCTTTACTGCTGTCAGTGTATAAGTCATGCCTGTGACTATTGAAACACAGTATGAACATCATCATTAACCTCAGTACCAAGCCATAACAAAACCAAGGCATAAGGTAAAAGTTATAAGGTTTGATCTGCGAACATTAAAATAACTGATACAAGGATAGCATTAGTATGAAATTATTCCTTAAGCTTATACTACATTGTATCTATATTGTAAAGTGGTATTATAGTGGGAGTAGTTCAGAGTGTCTATAACTCACATCTACTGTTCTATATACAGGAAAATTTTGTTATAGTTTTAACTTTTCACTCATTTTCGTCATGCACAAAAATGATTCTGAATAATGGGGTTTTAATTTTTATAGATTTATATGGATTTGGAATAGGGATAACCCTATTGTGTTTTAAAATTTGTGCGGCAGTATATTTTGTTAATACTCACAAATATTCCTTTCACTGTCTATTCTGCACGTCTCGTTAGTATCTCTTTGTTTTTTTTCTTTCTGTACAGGTATGCAGGACAAGTAGGATTCATACATGCAAATATAAAGAAGATCTCTGACTTTCAAGTGGGCGATACTTTCTGTCACCAGAAGTCACCAGTGGAACCCTTACCTGGATTCAAACCTGCCGTGCCAATGGTACAAAACCAACACCTGTTGTTTATGTGGTACAAAGTTACACCTGTTGTTTCTGTGGTATAAAGCCAACAGCTGTTGTTTATGTGATATAAAACCAACACCTGTTGTTTCTGTGGTACAAAACTTACACTTGTTGTTTCTGTGGTACACATCTTTCACTGGTTGTGTCTTTGGAAAAAACTTATCATTACATATTCCCCATTATTAAATATTCTTGATTCGTTATTTATATAATGATGAATTTCAGGTGTTTGCTGGAATATTTCCATCAGATCAATCACAGCTACCATCACTGAAGGCTGCCATTACCAAACTAACCCTCAACGACAGTAGTGTGGCTGTCAGTCTAGAAAACAGGTTAGTACAACTATAGAGGGTTGTCTGTATTCTAGTAATTAGTACAACTGTAGAGGGTTGTCTGTATTCTAGTTATAAGTACAACTATAGAGGGTTGCCTGTATTCTAGTAATTAGTACAACTGTAGAGGGTTGGCCATATTCTAGTAATTAGTACAACAATAGAGGGTTGTCTGTATTCTAGTAATTAGTACAACTGTAGAAGGTTTTAGTGCAGACTTGGTTTAAATTTACACAATAGTTCTTTGTTTTAGTGCGGCCATTGGACAGGGCTGGAGAGCTTGTTTATTTTTACACACTGGTTCTGTTTTAGTATAGCCATTGGACAGGGCTGGAGAGCTTGTTTATTTTTACACACTGGTTCTATGTTTTAGTACAGCCATTTGACAGGGCTGGAGAGCTTGTTTATTTTTACACACTGGTTCTATGTTTTAGTGCAGCTAATGACACACTGGTTCTATGTTTTAGTGCGGCCATTGGACAGGGCTGGAGAGCTTGTTTATTTTTACACACTGGTTCTATGTTTTAGTACAGCCATTGGACAGGGCTGGAGAGCTTGTTTATTTTTACACACTGGTTCTATGTTTTAGTGCAGCCAATGACACACTGGTTCTATGTTTTAGTACAGCCATTGGACAGGGCTGGAGAGCTTGTTTATTTTTACACACTGGTTCTATGTTTTAGTGCAGCCAATGACACACTGGTTCTATGTTTTAGTGCAGCCATTGGACAGGGCTGGAGAGCTTGTTTATATTTACACACTGGTTCTATGTTTTAGTGCAGCCAATGACACACTGGTTCTATGTTTTAGTGCGGCCATTGGACAGGGCTGGAGAGCTTGTTTATATTTACACACTGGTTCTATGTTTTAGTGCAGCCAATGACACACTGGTTCTATGTTTTAGTGTGGCCATTGGACAGGGCTGGAGAGCTTGTTTATATTTACACACTGGTTCTATGTTTTAGTGCAGCCAATGACACACTGGTTCTATGTTTTAGTGCGGCCATTGGACAGGGCTGGAGAGCTTGTTTATATTTACACACTGGTTCTGTGTTGTAGTGCGACCATTGGACAGGGCTGGTTGTTTATATTTACACACTGGTTCTATGTTTTAGTGCAGCCATTGGACAGGGCTGGAGACTTGGTTTCCTTGGTATGCTTCACATGGATGTTTTTTGTCAGAGATTGGAACAAGAATTCGGGGCATCTGTCATCATTACAGCCCCTAATGTACATTACAGAGGTATGTCGTGATAACATGTTCACAGCTGTATGGTTAAACTGGGATTGATATTTATATTCAAATATGTTAGTTTATATTTCAAGGAAATCAACTAAATAATGATTTGATAACATCTACAGGCATACCATAATATCATTCAAGTTCATCAAAATTTTACTGGGTCATTTTATTTTGTATTAATTGGTTTAATTGAGAAGAAGACCGAAGATAATCAAGTCCACATATATTTGTACATGTTTGGACTAATTGACTGATATTCTGAAATAAATATTTTTCTTATTTTCCTTCTACAATTTCAAGTTCGGATCAAAGGAAAAAAGAACATAAAAATTTATGGAGACGAGATTGTGGATGTCCTGAACCCTTGTAAGGTAAGCCACAGATATTGTGCATGTCTACAATGAAAGCTGTTTTACACCACAAATTACTGCCTTTAACATAACTTGTGGAGTTTTGATTGACACAAATCGGTCAATACATATCCTTTCCTATTGGGTAAATCTTGTTAAATATTTGACAATATTTTGTATTTTCCTCTGTGGTGAATTTTCACAATACTGTAAAAATATGTACAACTTACTTAAATGGTATGAATTGATAAACAGAGAGACAAGATACAGTATATAGCAATGAGATACCACACAAGGATAGTGTATGATCACTAAACACCTGGAAGACAAACCAACAAGGCCTACATTTTTTGTAAAATGCTCAATCTGGGCAGGATACTTACATAAACATTATCCAAGAGCAGGCCTATTTTATTTTTTTCAAAATATCTCTTTATATTTTTTGAGAAGTACTGGATGGATCTTACTCAAATTTCACATGTAGGTTTCCCTTAATCCCTAATTGTGCCTGTTTGATTTTGGGACTGATCAGAAAAAACAAATGGCGTACAGGTGGCCATCTTGGATTTTGACTTCAAAAGTTTGTTATCACCATTTCTTGAGAAATACTGTGTAGATCTTTCTCAATTTTCATGTATTGGTTCCTCTTGGTTACTAGTTGTGCCTGTTTGAGTTTGAGATTGATCAGAAAAACAAAATGGCCAACAAGCAGCCATCTTGTATTACATCTAGATTGTTATCCCTGTTTCTTAAGAAGTACTGAATGAATCTCTCACGAATTTCATATGTATGTTCCCTTTGGTCTCTACTTATGGTTCTTGTCCTATGTCAAAATATTGTATCAAAGCTTTAATGATGTTTTAAGTTATTCAACTACTGTTTAAAGTTGTATTCAAGTTCGTTGTTTGTAAAATCATCCTTAATATTGTTATAGGAGTTAAAGTTACTGCCCTGTTTTTACATTATTCAGCTGGCTTAAGGCTCATGTAATTGTCATAGGCTATGTTATAGAATTCAAGATTTTTCAAGAACTGATCTAAAAATTTTTAAAGAATGTTTATTTCACTAATGTCTACACTTTATATCGAAATAAAAATGTTATTCAGGATACCATAAAATTTTAAGATATTTGTTAAAAAAATGTCCTACTTGATCTTACAGCTTCCAGATTTGAGCATTATAGAGGAGTTTCAGGAACCAATGATATTAGCGACCATCATCATTCCTGATCAATACTTGACCACTGTGCTCTCACTCTGCCTTGTAAGTGTACCACATTACGACTCTTTAATCAGTATAAAATCATTCATTGCAGCTGTCATTAGTTGAAGATTACCATTGTTTCCATTGTGACTTTGTAAGTTCATGGCATCATATGCTTTTACCAAAGAAGGAGATACAAGTTTTGTGTCAGTCCAATAAAATGCTGTTTTAACAAATGTTTTGAGAAGTATCTAAGCTATGTGATAAACAGTATCTTACAATCATTTTCATTTCACATTAGATTTTTAAAAGCTATTATGATGTTATGTCTTTACAACCGTTATTTTACAAGGGACTGTAACAAGAATTAGTGCTGGTGTTTTTCACCAAGCTGACAAGAATTGCTGTCAATATAAATTGTACAGTCACCAACCAATTACTACCCAACTTTAATTAAGTCCATGTCTGTTAATCCTGTTAAGACCAACCATATCTATCATGGAGTAGAATTACAAACATATTTATTGTTCTGCAGTAAGCCCACCCCCTGACTAGGAGTCAAAATTTCTGTGTTAGCCCCCTGGTTTAATTTTCCAGTAATTAAACCACCCCCTGACCTGAGAGTCAAGAGTCTATGTGTTAGCCCCCTGATTATATTTTACTCTAATAAGCCCACTCCCAGTCATGGAGTCAGAGTCTATATGTTTGCTCGAGGGGTCTATGGTCCTGTAATAAGCCCACCCCCTGACTCCGAGTCAGAATCTATGTGTTAGCCCCTGATTTTATTTAACTCTAATAAGCCCACTCCCAGTCTAGGAGTCAGAATCTATATGTTTGCTGGAGTCTATGATCCTGTAATAAGCCCACCCCCTGACTTGGTGTCGGAATCTATGTGTTAGCCCCTAGGTTTTATTTTCCTGTAATAAATCAACCTCCTGACCTGGCCAGAGTTTATGTGTCAGCTCCATGGGTTAAATTCAAGAAAAATACAGTTATTGGAATGACTTGTAGACAGAAATATTTCATGTGGAGGGGCTGTCTTGCAATCAAAATATCAAAATTTTATATTGGAGGTAAGACTATTGAACGTATGAATTATCTTGAGAAGTATAATACAACACTTATAAATTTCTTTGAGATTTGCTTACATATTTTTGTTGTTTCAGTCAAGGCGTGGTGAACCACAAGAACAGACCTATATAGACCAAAACAGATTAGTAATAAGGTGCATCTTTCCACTCAATGAGGTGCTTGTAGACTTTTATGATGAACTGAAATCCGTCACATCTGGCTATGCAAGGTACAATGATTTCCTTTTCTTTCAGTAAAAGTGCGTTACGATTTTAAATCCGATATTGTAAACATATTATAACACTTCTTGTAAATTGTGTATACCTAAAACTGCTCACCTGGCCCGAAAGTAAGCTTTTCCCCTTAAAATCGCTGCTAGTCATAAATAACTTAAAAGATTTTGACCAAATATGGTCAGATGCTTCCTAAGGGAACAAATTTTGTATAAATTATGGGTTTCTGCCCTTAGGGGACTGAGGGGTCGGGCCCATTTGGGGAAATAGAGCAATTTCTTAAAAATTTTTCTCCTTCTCCCCTTGTTGGGGGAAGGGGAACCAATTTTGTGTAAACAGTAGGTCTCAACTTCTTGAGGCGGGAAGGATGGGACCTAATAGGGGAAATTTAGCAATTTCTTCAAAATCCTACTCCTCCTGTAGGAATGATTGGATTTTGCGAACATTTGGTGTGAAGCATCGTTGGTGGAAGGGGAATCAATTCTTAATAAACGCTGGGCCTTGGCCCTCTGGGGCAGGGTCTGATATTGGGCAAATTCATTAAAGTCCTACTTTTCCTGTAGGAGTGATTGGGTCTGACGAATGAATGATTTGGTGACCCCCTTTGTACAGAAGGTTGGGGTCCAATAGGATAATAGATATGTTTTTTCTTGTTTGCTTTGATATTTAGAATTCCTTATCCCTTAATTTTAATGTAGCAATTTCAGCCAAGTGAGTATGCTTCTGTACAATAGTATGGAGCTGCAGCCTAGTTATTAGTGCTACCACATTAAGTGTACTACCAAAGGCCTCCAGCAGGACCCCACACAGTTACATTATACCAACATAAGGCAAACCGGTCATTACACTGTCACAATGCTGAGGGTTAAGCAGAGAGTAGCAATGATCAATGATCTTTCTTTATGGTATGTCTTCGCCAAGAACTCAAACAAGTTTGACTTGAACTTCCTATACTGCTTCTTTCACAAACAACTTGAGCAGCAGTGGCAGAGTGGTTAGGGCATGTGAAAATATTTCATCACTTGCCCTCCACCCCTGGGTCGTACACTAGAGGGCAGTCACCAGCAAGGCACTAGCTGCAGTCGATGTTTTTTTTCGGTATCTCCTGCTTTCCTCCATTAACCAAACCTGGGATGTCCTTAAATAACCCTGGCTGTTAAAAGCAACAATACCAAACTCATAACCAACTTGACTACAGCATAATGGCTCTTGTTGAACATGATCTATGAGCCTCATCAAGGATAACAGTGATTAGCGTAACTTTGGAATGTGATGTCAGTTGATAAATAATTAGATGATAAGTCAGGTAATTTTTGTCATGGTTCATTAGGGTTGGTTTGTAGGTGTGTAGGTTTGCTATATTGATGAATCATTCAGCAGAATGTGAACAAATGTCTTACATGTTTATATTGTTTCAGTTTTGATTACGATGACCATGGATACCGAACATCTGATCTAGCAAAAGTTGAGTTCCACATCAATAAACTCCCTGTTGAAGAGATGACAATGATCTGTCATATGAGTAGCTCTAAACGGCGTGGCAAGGAGATATGTGCCCGTCTTAAGGAAGTTATTCCTCGCCAATTGACTTACGTCACAATTCAGGCAGTTGTACATGGCAATATTGTTGCACGAGAGGATATCAAACCCATCAAGAAAGATGTCTTGGCTAAATGTGTAAGTTCTTTTTATCTACGAGAATTTTTGTTTTCAGAAAGCGTATAGAGGTTTTCATGTTGAAGTTATTTTGGTACTTGTATCGTTTTTATGATATCTGTATTACATAGCCAGTTGACTCAGAACAAGTACCAACATGTGTTTGTAGAGTATGAGAAAAAGAGGCATGTTTCTCCCTGGTTTGGAGGTTATACTGATACATATCCTAAATAGGTTTTGATTTTAGTTATAAACTGTGAATATTAGACTTGGTTCCTCAGGGTTAATCCAGTAGGTCATTTATCTCACCCAAGGACTCCCCATGTTTTATTTAGGGGTATCACCCTTAGAATTAAATTGGTAATTTACTGAGGTGTAAAAGGCAGCAAAATGAACCATGGAGAGAAGCGATTTATTTTGGAGTCCTGGGGTCAGGTAGATGTTTTACTGGAATAGGTCTCAACAAGGATGTCCTTATAAGGACATTTTAAGCCAGTTACAAGCAATTTCTTTTAGGCTGAGCAGTAAAATTGTTCTAATGGAAAATACTGTATTATCAATAGTAAAACAAGTCAGGTGACCATAAAGGCCCACAGGCCTCTTATTTGTGTCCGTAGATTCAGGTGATCTTTCACTTAAGTTGGCTCTTCACAAATATTTTTTCTTAACTCTTTGCAGTATGGCGGTGATGTTACCAGAAAAAATAAGCTACTCAACAAGCAGGCAGATTATCTTAAGAAACTTAAACAGGTTGGAACAGTAAAAATACCAAAGGATACATTCATCAAAGTGTTGAAGAAAAAGTAGCATTTTGGAGATTAATGTGATCGCAGTTGAGGAAATAGTGAAAGAATAAGTGTGATATTGTTCCGTCATCAGAGAAATACATCGTGTATCAAACAAGGACTGCTGTTTTGTTATCAATTCACTAAGAGTTGATATTGTAATGTCAAAAACATGAAATGTACAATTACATAAATTATTTATTTATGATAAAATCAAGTTGTTTTTTTCATTTTTGTTTTGTTTTTCATTATCTGCTTAGAACATTGTTGCTCAGGGTAGTTTACACTCTGCAAATCAGGAATCTTACGATCTTTGGAATATGTTTTTAATTAATCATATATACCATTTTTATAAAATAAATGAAACTTGTTAAAATTTGGTACAGAATACCTAAAATCCTGCTAGCTAATGTGTCCACTCTACTTTGTAATCAGTTGTGTCCACTCTACTTTGTAATCAGTTAAGTCTTGCCAGAAGGGCTGGACTCTTAAATATGATTTCCATCTCCATGTCATCTATATTTTTCTTGATTGAAATTATTGCAATATCTTGAAAATGATTAATTTGTCATTGAAAATATTAATTAGTTACCAAAATTGCATTTTTGGGGGTAACAAGGAGAGTGTGGGGAAAGATCTATTTCATTACAAAATGATAAATATGATTTTAACAAATGCCACAGAAACACATTTGTAAAATTATGGTATGATCAGGAGATGTAGAACAGATTGAGAAGGACTGTCAGCAGATGATACAAGTATAGATCAAAACAGACAATTAGTGGAATCTGCCAGCAATATTACAGTCTTAAATATAGCAGAGAAAGTGTGTGTCAGAAATACATATGTAAGTTGAGTTAGTGGAATCTGCCAGCAATATTACAGCCTTAAAGATAGCAGAGAAAGTGTGTGTCAGAAATACATATGTAAGTTGAGTAATTGCTCTGATTGGTTTACTTCTTTGATAAGTGGGCAGCATTAAAACAACTACGACTTTGCCTGATGGTAATACCAATTTATACCTCATCAGTAAAATTACATTAAAATCACTTTGACTTTGCCAGACTACAATTAAAATTCTTACCTTATCAGTAAAAATTCATTAGTTCATTACTATCAATTGCATTTTTTCAGTTATTCAGAGGATGTAATGAGGAAAGCACTTTCATGGCCCCACATAAAGAGTACAAGAAAAATTCAATTGGAGGCTAAATTGTAAAATTCATGCTTCAAGATTTACACAACATGATTGTGCCTGCTGATACGGCATCCACTAACTTGATCCTTGTCTGCAAAGAACTGGACTTGCTTGATAACACAGGAAACCCCACATATACATTATGCAATCTTTCAAAAGACGAAATACTAGCTAATCATGCTTTGGTATTACCATCATTAAAATTGCCTATTAATGATCAGGATATGGACCTCCCCCTTTTATATTGGATTTCCAAATTTCACAAGAATCCATGTAAACAATGTTTTATTGCTGGCTCGTCCAGCTGTTCAACCAAGACTTTGTCAAAACGACTGACCACCATTCTAAGCACCATCAAATATGGGTCACAGCCTTATTGTTATAGTTTATTCAAGAAGTGGAATTAATAGTATGTGGATTTGATGAACTCCAAAGAGCTTTTGGCCAATCTTCAACACCCTCTTCTAAAAAAACATTTCTTCTATAAGAACACTTGATTTTTTTCACCCTGTACACCACCATATCCCATTCTTAACTGAAGGAACGCCTTCGTTCTCCTGTTATGAAAACTTTCTCCCCCAAGAAAGTTAAACGGCAGTTTAAAAATATATCCTGAAGCTTATTTTATAAAAAGTACATCCAATTCAAAGAAATATATGGAGGACGAAATCTTTAAAATGATGAGACTTTTTGGTTCACTACATCTCTGTCGAGTTTGGTTATAAGATCTTTCAAAAGACTCTTGGCATACACAAGGGAACTAACTGTGTCCCTCTGTTGGCTGATGTGTTTTTGTTTTCATATCAGGCTGAACTTATCAAAGAGCTTATCAAAATGGGTCACTAAGACCTTGCAAAGTCATCTAATTTCATTGAATCATTAATGAAACCATTGATAAAAAAAAAAATTGGAAAAAACTTGTTGCTGGCAAAACATTAGCACCCTGGGCCTTCATACTTTAAGATATATGCTGCATATTAAATATTGTAACCCAGGACCTTTTGGTGCCATCACAATTTTGACCTTGAAATTAGGTCATGCTCATTAATCATAAGAAAATTGATGGCCTTTCATCCAAGATTGCTGCTGGCAAGTAAACATCAGCACTCTCTAGTCTTCTTGAACCATCGGATTTCTATGACCTTAAAAACTCTCTTTTAACATTTGTATTTCATCCCAGGATGCTACAGGTAAAATATTATGACCCTGGCCCTAGGACAGTCATCACACCACTGAAGAAAACACAAAGTACCAAATTTTAGACAAGAAACAGAATAATTAACAAGAAAGAGTTACACTTATGGAATGAAGAAGCAATTTATTAGACAACAGTATTAGATACGACTTATTTAACATGTACACAAAAGCCATAAATCATGGATTTATATGTAAAATTGAAAATAAAAAACATTTATTTAGACTGTGTACAGGCATTATAGGGACTTGACTCCACCTACCTGCCCTTATGTGTACAAACATACACACAGTGTAATGTTATATGGACTTTATGGGCAAGAGATTGGTCAGTGTCCCTATATGTACTGACTTTTGAGCTACCTGAATATTTGTAACTTAATTAAACATAATTTTCCTATAGAAAACCATTGGTTTAGGTAACCGAACATATAACAAAGCATTCCAATAGGAAACAAACAATGAAGAGTTTCCCAGGGAATATTCATTAAACTTGCACATCTTTAATTAATATATTTACTGGTACATGACCTGTTTTGCTACCTTTAACTTACAAAAAATAATTCATAAGAATGATAACCAAAGTAAAATGGAACTACCTGGTAACTGAAATGACCTCTTTGAGAGGAATTATACTGAATACAATGCAGAATATGTTGTTTGGTTGAGAATATTTCTAGATATCCATTATCCTTATACCTGTAATATTACTTACTCATAATCTCAAGTGTACATTAAAAAATCTTCAATTATTTTTTCTCGTTTAGATTTCTCTACAAGCTAGAATTATGCTAATTATCCCAGAAATTAGCCTGCAAATTGTGTCATGCTTTCTAATTGAAAATTCTACATGTCTTAAATCATCTCCCTGTAGTGAAAAGATGTAATTATCAAACTAAATTTTTTATGAAAAATGAATTGAACAAATGTTATATAAATGTAAAAGATTAGTACGTCTGATATTTATATTTATCCTGTAACTGGCGCTGCCATTGTTGGAAACACCTGTCATTTATATTTTTGCTGTACTGGGCCGCAGATACAAAATAGGTGTATTTCAGCATGTGCATGAATTTGTTGGACTGACTTTCTGGTTTACTGAAACATTTTACTTATAATTTGAAAACTGTTAAAATGCAATGTTTTAGTTGCATTGAACAAGTTTATTTTTGAAAAAAGTCCAAATATTTCTATTATGTCAATTGAATAATGGAAATATATTTCTGTGTGAAGCAATAGTTCTGGTCAGTGTCATTCATAAGAATCAAGCTGTAGTTTTGCTCAGTAACGAGAAAAAAAATGCTAGCAAATTCTGTCTTTCTATACCCTTGCTAACATACAGCTTATGACACTAACCATGAATTCTCTATGTATGTACCTCTATCAACCTTGGGCATACATTGTTGTAAGCCTTTTGAAGCAACACACAACATTCACCAAACATAACAAGGTAGGCTTTTTACAGGATAATGAAAGAGTATTGTAGGCATTATTACAGAAAACACTGTACTTATAGCTTAAAAAAATAGACATGGGCTTGTTGAATAAATAGTTCAGAGACATAAAGAAACTTGTAAATGAAGATTTTAACGAAAAATCCATAAACAAGTGCAAAATATGAGCAAACAAAACACATTTACAGAGAGAGAGCACAGACAAATCCAGCATATGTATATACTACATGTAAATCTGGACTCGGTCTTCATATCTACTCTTTAGCTTTTGAAAATTCACAAACTAAGGTCAAACATAGTATGCATATCATGTAGAAAGTTTTTTCCACCAGAATTTGTAAAATCAAATCACCTTTCCTGCAACTGCAAAATAATGTTAGAGACTTTAAGCCATCAGCAAATATTTACACATATAAAAAATAGGTTATTCAACATTTAAACATTTAATAAAATTTGTAGAATCAATTAATATAATAATCTAGGTAAATATAATTTTTCACTACCTTTAAGACCTTAAGTATCAATGCTAGAAGTAGCTTGTTGGAGAGCCATGTCCCCAAATTCCAGTAATACAAGTTTGAACTTCTTTAAAAGCAATTTTGAGCCATCAGTGTCATCTGGCCCTATTATCATAGGTACCAAACTTCCATAAAACATTCTAACCTATATATATATTAATATAATTGTTGAAAAGTCTTGTGTTAAGGCCAGAGGGAAATCAATTTTAAGGATAAATTGAACCTTCAAATACATTATTTATAAACAGAAAAATGTTTCTTCTTGAGAAAACATCTGGAAATCGAAAAGGTAAGCTAAATCTCATCATGTTTGCTGGAGATTAGTTGTAGCAGTTCTCACCAAAAATATAAAAGTACCTTTAGATAGTTATCTGATGGTGAGACTAGTAAAAATACTTATAACACTATTTCCATTTACAATGACTTGTCATGGCAGCATGAACATTTCCCAATAATATAACACTACCACTTTTTCATACAAAGCAAAATATATATACATTATTAATATCAACAAGCTAACATCATCATATACTGTATATATATATAGCTATCACATGTAAATCATATACATACAATGTATTTTTACAACATCTCAATATATAAGAATAGAGACAGCAGCTCAATCTTTTTTTATGGTAAAATGTTTTAATGAATTTTTGTAGCATACAAAACCAAGGTTTACATCTACTTTTTTTTATTTTTTAAGATCTCGTATCTTATCAACAACAGTCATAGAGGCCAACACACAAGCTCTGATTTGATTAAAGAGTTGGGGTTCTTACAGGACAATTATGAAGTACTTATTGACATTACAAATGAAAGTGAAATGGATATACGGGACACCGGCTTATTGCTGGATCACTTCTTTACACAACATATAGTGGAACAAGACCAGAAAAATATTACAATGCAAAGGTACTGATGATGTGTGGGGGAAGATTAATTTATACATTGGACAAGAAATCCATTTCAAAGCAAAGTTTTTCATGCAAATAAAGAATTATTTTGCATTATACAAAACAAGAGCTTACAATTTTGTTTTAAAACAGAACTATTTTTCTTGCATAACATCACATTCCGTGATGCAATACAATCAAATGTGTTTGATTTAACAAATGTCTATAATTGACTGCACACATGAATAGTCATCAAAAGCATTGCGATTAAGTTCTCTGTAACCAGGCTTTAATCGGACACAAAAACTTTCAGAGAACAGGTGGGAAATTGATATAGGTCTTTTATCAATCCAAAACTTCCATACCATGTGACATAACAAGCAAGAACATGTGATATTCTGCATAATAATATTAAAGGCAAAAACAAATGTATTGTTATAGATAGATCAAAACATTGTTACACATATACTGTGTAAAATCATCAGCTTTTTGTTTTCTAAATCTTATTTTAACTGATTTTGTTCCGGTAGACACTCTCTATCCATAAAATCACATGTACCTAGGGTTAGTAGATTTATGAGTACTATCAATGAAATTATTGCAAAGAAAGATTCTTCTTCTTCTTTTTTATGAAATTGAAGCCCTGAATGATAAATGATTTTACAGTAGGGTAATACTGTATTCAATTCTTGGTCATCTTGGTTTCTGGAAATTACCCGAATCCTTATCAATTCTGTGAAAATATCCAGTTATTAGTTTCCAGTATTACTATCAAAATATATTTACACAAAAATGTCAAATCTTATCAAATTCAATATAGAAAATAAAATCTGAGTAAAAATCTTAAATAAGAAAACCATTCTTTAACCTGTTAAAAATTTCTTGTTAAATCGAACATTAAATTTTCCCACTGGTACACTTATGACGACACAACATACTTTCATAAATTTGTGTACAACTGACAATCTGTCCAAGACCTTAAATGTACATAATTTTTTCAATTAAAATATAGTGTTATTACCATAACTGTTTGATTGGTGCCATGCTACATTTTGCAAGTGTTCTGGAACATGTTGTCAATTAGCTCATTAAACTGTCATTACCATGCAACATTTTGTGACAATCTGCAATCTATGTGCAATAAGTGGCACACATTGTTTAATCAACAATTAGGTATGATGTTTACAATACAGGTGATGCTTTATTGTATTACTATGGCTGTTGCATTGCTTGGTCCACCATTTAGTGTGACGATACATACCACCTGTAATCTGCTATTGAAGTGGCAATTGTCAAATTGTATGATCTTCCATAATCTTGTGATGGATGGGTGTTGTGTAACATGTGATTCACATTTTATGTGAAATTGTACAATCCTCCTTAATGATATTTTTAAGATTAGAGGTCTACCCACAATTATGCGTGACAACTATCAATGTTATCATTACTGTGTTATGAATGTATGATCCCGTATCTCTGGAATGGTTGCCAGACTGATTAATCCACTATCATTGTGTAACAGGTGTCACATTATGTTCTTTATTTAAATGCTCATCTCTCTCTGCTTCACTGTAGAAGAAACTATAGCACATCGGACATTGTGTTGTATGGTATGTCAGCATCCCTTCAGAGAATTTGGGTACTTCCAGAGCACGGAGTTCCCCACTGGATCCTCCACCACTGGGCCTAACATTCAATTCTTTTTCACATACTTTATGACGTTCTCGCATGTGCTTTCTTTTTGACATTTCATCACCAAAATATCCATTACAAAGTGGACATTTCACAAATTCACTGTACTGCTCTTCCTCCTCATGGCGATCACGTTCAGCACGTGACGAGAATTCACTGCCACAAATACTACAGGCAAACAACAGTAGATTTGATGATGGTGATTGCTTGGACCTTGGATCATTTGTCATGTCATATTTCAAGTTTGTATCTGATTCCATGCCATATTTTACATTAGAAGTCTTCTGTTTATAAGTGGATAAATCTGACGAGCGATTTATCCCTTTCTTTCTTCGTCGTTTACTTTTTTCTTCATCGTCTTCAAGCATTCCCTGTAACCTTGGAGAGTAGGAATCATCTTGCTCACTTCTTGTTGATCCAGAGTCGTCACTAGCTTCCAAATCTGACCCAACATCAGCCATTTCAGTGTAGTTAACAGGGTTTTTTCTTCCAGACGACAATCTTGTTGAATATGGTCCTTTTACCCTGTTTCTCTTTTCCAGTAGCGACCTTGTTAGCAACTCAAACTTGCGATTTGCATGTTCTGTGGGTGTGAGAGCAGCTCCAACTCTCATAGATGTTTCAATAGGACTGGTGACTGAAACATTTTCTGATACCTGACTTTTATTGCCAGATACTTCTCCTGGAAATAAGTCTTGGAATGACACAAATGGTAGCCTGTACACGAGGGAGTTATCCTGATCCTCTCCTACATTAGGCTGATTAGTCAAGCTGGAATTTCCTTCTTTATTACCACTGTTGCTAAACCTGTCCGTTGGAACACTGCTCTTGTAAGCTTCAGCTAAACTTTTTCCTTTCAGAATTTTCAAAAGAATAGAGTTTTTGGTTGTTTCTGAAATTATGCCTGAATCAGAATTTCTTCCCTGGTCAAGTTGCGATGAATCAATATCTGTATCAATCTCCATTTCTGGTTCGCCGATGTCAGAATCTTGCGGTTCTTCCTTGATTGAAGTGACAGACATTTCCATGGGATTCTCTGTGCTCTCAGTTTGTGACTGGAAAAATGATGTTGGAGTATTACATGTGCTGGAAGTTTGACTTTGATCAACATCACTGTTGTTTTCGTCTTCATTTTCTGTCGGCCATTTTGGTTCTGTGTCCTCGGTAGAGCTCCATACTGGTTCTTCCTTGATCACTATTCCACCTGGTAAAGTCTCGCTTATTGTTTGATTACTGTTGCTTTCCTCATTATTTACACTGGAGTCAACATTCTCCTTGTCTGAAACCTTCTGGTCATAGAGATTCTCTTCACTTTGCTCTTTAATCAAGGTATAATCCTGAGAATCACCATCCTCATCATCATTTTCTTGAGTCACTGATTCTGGAGATGCCCTTCTTATCTCTCCACGATCAAGCTTTCTCTTTCGACGTATGCTGGTTTCAGCAGGTGTAACGGTTTGACTCTCTGCTTGTAGTACAGGTTGGATAGGTGTTGATGCTGCACTCATTGGAATCATCAACCCTGATAATATGGATGCTACAGAAGCAGGTTCCTTCGGTTGTGTAGGTGTTACAGAATTTTCCATATCTTTCTTCAACACATCCTTACTGACAGTGCTGAGATACATGTTATCCTCTCCACACAAGGTCTGGACTAGGTAAGGATATTTTTTCACTGGTGTATCGTTTTTCAATGCTTCTGAGCCTGATACATTGGTACTAATTTCTGACAACTTTTCAGAATTCTCTTTTGTTTGCCATGCTGTAAAATCTCCTTCACCTTGCATTGGTATCAGCATATCTTCATTTGTGTTTTTCCTTTTCCGTTTAGATTTTGGGCCCATTGACCAGATGCTTGACACCTTGCAAATGTTTTGCTCACCATTTGTATCTTGTGATACTAACCCTAAGCCCTTATTTCCAAAATGCCCTAGAGTCTCATGAATTTTCACCACATGGTTGTCAGTAGGGGTTAAAGCTACACAAATCAAGGCATCAACTTCAATAGGATTCTTGTACTTTTCCTGACAGAGACTCAGGACAGCTGTCTTTAGCACTGCAGCAATTCTCTCCCTTTCCTTCATTCTGGCTACTTTTGTTTTGTTTACCATGGTCAAACTTTGTCAACAACCAACTGAAAAAGAAAAGAACATGTTATTTATGTTATGTTAGAATCAGGTGTTCTAAAAACTTTACTGGTTGGATCTTATCTTCTACCATTCTATTTCGATATTGATATTTATCAATAAACTACATATATTTTCAAAAGCACTATTTCAAGATAACAATTAATTTGTAACTCTTTAATTTTCATACTATATATTGATGCATCTAACTTCAGTACAATTACATTACGGTTTATGATGTAGCGTGTTGATTTATTGGTATTTTGAACATTTAAGAAGAGAGACAATTTTTGACTTGTGCCCTGTCTGGGCCTTGAAACTCATGATCTATGGCATCAAATCTCTAAACCAAAAAATCCTATAACTGCCTAACCATTACACATTATATGGCATGTATGTATGTTTTCTGCACACAACAATATCAGAAACTAGATGACCACAGTTTATTGATATACTGCGTCTAAACAACACACACATGTATATCTCAGTCACATATTAATAAACTCAACAAGCTAAACAAATACAACGCTTTTAATTGGCTCTCTTGAAGCTGTATCTATAGAAAGACCTATTCGAGATTTATTTGCAATTTCTTACTACTAACCTACTGACCTATGAGAGGAGTGGAGGTCCAAGATCCTATGTGGAGATTAGAGGCCTATATAGGAATCATAGATTCCAAAACCAATGTAGGAACTGATAATTCTTAGAGCTTATGTGGAGACTGTAGGCCTACACCAGGGCAGAGTATTCCCTAATCTATGTGGGAACCAGGTATCACAGAGCCTACATGGGGGAATGGAAGACTTAGAGCATAAATCTATGACTGGAATCTGCAGATCCCAGTTGTGTTCAACTAGAAAGTCGAACCGCAGGACACAGGAAAGATCTTGTTACAATTTCATTAATCAATATAGGATTGTGATGATCTGTATGGGAACAAGGCATCATAGCTGATATGAACATTATTGTGCCTAAAAGTTGTATGAAATGCCAATGTAAAAGTCAAGGGATTTTCCCTATTTAATGAGTCAATCTGTAAAAGAGAAATGTATCATAAATGTCTTATTATCATCTTGTAACATAAATCAGAATGTTGAAACTTTGAGAAATATAAACTTCAATGTGTCTGCCAATTTCTATTTGGAGTAATTGTGAACTAATTTTTGACAGCAAAATATTGAAATGTCGACTTGTACAAGAAATGATGTTTGTGAACACCTGTGTTAAGTTATCTCTACAATTGAAAAAAGAAATGCAGACTGTAGAGTGGTGATCAAAAATTATGTCTATTTCCATTGATAGCAATAAAGTGACTTAGTTTTTGACCACAGAAGATTGAAACACAAACTCGTCAAAAGGGGTAATGTTTGTAAATGATACATGTAAGTATTGTGACAATCAGAAAAGTAATGCAGCTGTAGAGTGGTGATATCAAAAAAGCTGTCAATTTCTTTTGACCGTAATTATATAATGATGACCTAGGTTTTGACCACAGAAGATTGAAATACAATCTTGTACAAGAGGTGAAATTTGCAACCATGTGTAAATGAAGTATAATGACAATCGGAAAAGCAATAATATGCAGAACAGTGCCATCATTTGGGACACATGCATATATACAAACCAGGGCTCTCGACCTGCCAGATTTGGGGCCAATATTCGGCCCAATTGCCAATGCAAAATAGTATCTTTTTTTCCCAATTTAGACCCCAAGTTTTCCCAATACTAAGGAAAACGACACTATTTTTCCCAATTCTAAGTGCCCTGGGCCCCAGTCCCAAAATGGGGTGTGAGAGCCCTGCAAACATGCACAAGCAGATCCCTTCCCTGTCCCTCGATGACTTTTGTCATGAGGGTATAAAAGAGCTAACAAAATGTTTGTAAAATCTTGAGAACCTCCAAGAAGATGAGGAAAAAGTGGATGAAATGCACACGAAACTTTGATTTTTTTTTTAAATGTGCTAAATGAGCATTAAGGTACTTTGATTAAAGAAATACTCCAAATGTCTGCAGGTTAACTATTTAAATTCTTCATTTTTCTCTTGATTTGTGTAATGTTTCGGAATTTCATAAAATAGCATTAAAAGGAAACTCTCTGTTAACAAAACATCTTGAATATTTAAATAGTCATAGTTTTTGTTATAACATTTTATTTGAGTTACATAACCATCTCAAATCTCTTTTTTTTTTTTATTTTATTTATTCAAATTTTCAAAGGTTTTTTTTTTTAAATATATTATATGTATAGTGTCACTCACACACAGATACATACCTCATCCACTAACATTCATTCTTCATCATTTGTTGAGTGACTACATGGAGTCATTTATATATGTAGCCAGCACCACATATTATCATACACACATTCTACATTTCAAGAAACAAACATCCACCCACAACATTCATTTTTGATGCATTCCACATTCATACACAATATTTATACCCCATACTCACCTGCATATTATGTGAACATAATTGTCATGTACACACTTGCTCATCTCAAATATTCATATACAAGTTATCTATATCTCAAATCTACATCTATATAAACAAAGAAACATTTTGAATGTTGCATATTTATTTTTTTTGTCATTAACACTGCCAAACTGATTTCATAAACAATCCTGTTCGCAACTCTTGGGTTAGTTCAGGCATTGTATTTTCTGCAAAAGACTCTAAATTCTTTTGTCTGAAACATGACTGGGCATTTTGATTGACTGTTTGACCCTGATCATCAGAATGGTGATTCCGATCAGGTTCCATCATATCCTTATGCCACAAGGTAAAGTACATGGGGCAAAATTATTAATTGAATTTTTTTTATTGTGGGAATACCTACACGTAAGACTTGTACACTAGAAATATAGTTTCCTCTTATTCTATTTATACACATAGACATCTTAAAACAATTCTTATGTGTTAAAAGCATGTCACTCATTTATAATTAAAACCCGACTAGATCAGCCTCCAAGGTGACAATCCTATCCTGTAACATTACTAAAAGATCTGAAAAAATTATCTTTGACCTAGGAATGTTAGGGGTTTGAAACATACTTTTTGGTATTTTATGACATCTTGAAATTTCCCTGCTGCTATCTATCAATTACACAGACCAGAAATGCCTTGGACAAACAAAATTGTAAAATCATGTGACTAGAGTGAACATTCCAGAGAACTTTGGTGTTTGATTCTACTCAAAATGCAGCTATTGAAGAATTTATAATCTACTTATTTTATCACTTTTTTTTTTAATTTACTGGAAGAAAGACTGCCAATACAATATAACTATCACATACAGAGGTGAATAACAAAATTATAGGAAATTAACAATATGAGATGTTAAAAAGAACAATATTCAAAGTCTGTAACTGATAAAAAAATAAACAGAAAAAAAACAATAACAAATGAATAGTAGAAGATAATTTGATGTCTTGAAAGCCAATTAGGTTCAATCTGAAGATTTATATATATATATATCGCATCAAAACTAAGATGTTATTATCTAAGTATATCTCGTTTATAATTCCCACTTGAATAGAAGAAACTTATCAGGATTTAATATCTGTATCACGGTAAGACCAGCAAATTAGTAATTTATCACACTAGCATTGACCTTGTTACAGATTGTGGGACAAAAACACATGATGGATTCGTCAAAGACCTGTTGACAATAAACTGAAAGTAAACAGAATATCTATGGTACATGACCTGTCGACATAACAAGCATAATAATGTCAAAATGGCGGAAGGTGAACTTACTGACTGGTCAAGATCACTCGCTAAATTGAACAGTAACGGCGGTCACAGTTGTCATGGAAACATTCCAATCGTTTTTACGAATCGACGTATCAACAGATGGTAAGGTTCGTATCACGTATAACTGAAGAAACTATCTACTACAGATGGAATTCATACGGCACATCGACCTCACCTTTCCCTCGCCTGCTGACCTATAAACATGTTAAGTCATTGAACGACCTTGCCCTTTCACCTTTCGTTTCACGTTATGCTCTACTTCTTTGTCCTTATGCCCTCTGCTTTCATTAAAGCTTCTGCTTTCTGTCTCTTATGATCATAATCAAATCATCTAAGCGATAAAACAAACGCATGAAAACTATAAAAATACATTTTTAATGTCCATTTCCATCTGATAATAAGAACAGCTGAAGTTCTGGGACCCTTCATCCGTGACATGAGAAGTCGAACACGCCGGAAGTACAATGTGATTGATTTTCAAATATTCCGAATTGTTGCCGTGATAACATACGAAAGGAAATTAATTTTATAATCACAGAGAGTCATACGGTTTTCATACGGATGGAATGATCAAGCACTGCATCAGATCTTGTACTCACGTATTTTTCCATCAAAAAAGCAAAGGAGATCTTCCAATTCAACCGAAACAATTAGTCTTGCACAAGTCCGTGATCAATTTGTTAAGGAATAGTTCAATAAAAGCGTCTGAATTTGTTATACATGTTGTTTTAGGATAAATGTAACATTTTTATCAAATATTTGCAATTTTGATCACTTCATCTCCAAAATGGCAAAATGCAACTTAAAAAATGTGAATAGTACATATATTTATTTTTCAAAACAAGAGGTCCCTGGTGCATGGGAAACTAACTTTTATTTATTCTTTTTTGTGATCTGGTGTGGCTGGAGTATACTTCTTGTCAATAAGGGAAAAAAACCAAGAAACTTACATTTGCAAAATTCATCAATCAGCTGAATCAAAATATATAGTCAAAAAATACCCAACATTACGCCAAATTGGACGTTATAGTTTTTATATTTAAATAAAAAGCTTAGTCTGCCCCTTAAAAAAGGTGTACGTGAAGTTAAGAAATGACTAAATATGTGAATCCGGATAAGTACCATAATGCAGACTGTCTTGATTAGTGTAACAAAATATAGCACAATTGAATTGATGGATATTTTAGTGTTCATGATAGGAAAAGAATATAAATTAAGTTTTGTCAAAATCTCAGTTTTAAATGTATCATGTACAAAAAAAAAAAAAAAAAAAATTTATTATGTGCCGTCCTCCCACAGAGATTGCAACCTTCATTCACAGCACATTTCTGTTACCTATCATGGATGTAAATTGCCATAATTAGGTAGAATCTATGAAACAGAAGTAATTTTTTATTTTAATACCTTCGCTAGGATACAAACTTGGGATGCCTAGCTTACTACTAGTCTGACGGTCAGTCGATCAAGCTTAAGAGAATTAAGTTCTCTCTTGCTAAGTGGTATATTGCAGCTAGGTTACTTACTCCGCTTCCAAGAAAACATTCGCGAACAAGTTTCCAGGGGTTACAGTGATGCTTTTGGGGCATAAGTCAACTAATATTTAATTCCCCAAGTCCCTACATGGATGCCAATGTAGCAGAGGTTATTATCCTCTGCTAGGATTCGTACTCGGGACTGATGGCTTAATTACTAGTCTGACACTTAACCAATCAAGCTAAAAAAATTTCTCTCTAGCCGAGTGGTATATTGCGGCTAGCATATACCTGAATACAACTCCATTATATTTCTTCAGTTGCCTTTCTAAAGGAGATATTGGTCAGTATCTCTCCCAAGAGACTATACTTATATAAATATTGTTCTTTTTACCTTAAGTTGATTCTCTCATGGTTGAATTTCATGGACGGGTAATAGTGTTACAACATGGCAAATATCAAGATAGTAAAATCTCGTCCCAAAATTATTCCTTTGTACAATGAACAAATGTTACTTGTTCTCGGATAATTGCCTAACTTTTATGTACTGCAGTGATGATTTGTTTACTCTCTCATTTTTCAAAATGTTCTCTCCTGTTCTTGCAACAAATCTATATGGTAACATTTGTTACAGCTCCAGCCAAATGAAATGCAGATGTATTTAACAATCCACTCCCCTTGTGTGATCTAATATTGGTACTAGAAACATTTCACCTCCTTCACATTGCTTTATTAGTTCACTTAAGGTCATCCCAATAGGCGTTTTGTCTAATCAGAATTAATCCAGTTGTGACCAAAATATTGAAGGTTCTCCAGGGTATAAACTTGCAGCTTATAGTTTTTCTCTCAATTTCTGAAATTTTATATTTGATATTTGAAAAGTATTTATGGAGACTGTTAAATCTTCAGTTTACTTTACTGCAATAACTATGTGCAATTAAAAAATTGTACCAGTATGTATTTCAGTAAAAAAGTCTCGAATGAATCAAAGGCTGTTGTATTGTATGAGGATGATGAAACTGTACACCTGATCAAGATTCAACTGAAAAAAACTGAAAACAAATCATTTCAAGCATATTTTATTTTTGTAAAGGTTTCACAGAATATTAAGTTAATTTCATTTTAATAATCATAATCTTTATATTAAACAATTTATAATGTTCTATTTTTACTTACACTAGACAATAGATTAATCACTCTGCCAGCGTTTTACCTACATGACTAGTGTTCAAACAGCGGTGACAATGATCTCTTGGAATAACCAGCATGTAATAATAAACAGTCAATGAAATGTGTGTATCATTTAAAATTCACTAAAAGCACTAGCAATTCATAACATACATAAAAAAAAATTCTATGGCAATTAAGGTAAAAAAGGCATGTCATTGTTCAAATATATATATATATATATATCAGAAGTACTTAAAGTATATACATTGTACCATTCTGTCATTTTTTTTATAATGCAAAGTTATGTGCTCATTTTAGCAGGTATTCATTACAACAGTCAATTCCTGCTCACAAGAGCAGATAACTCTGCATTATGAAAAGAGAGAATTTGTATCCTGCCTTAAATCACAGGGGCCAAAATATTACCTCAGACTCAAAATCAGGGTGGGCTTATTACAGAACATTGAATCGCTCTTTGTTGATAATGCTGTCAAACAGCAATATTGTTTGGCTTATTACCATATGTGGGGTTATTAACGGATAAATAAAATATGTACACAAGTTTGACACTATTTATATAAAAATATAGACAGCACCAATGTATTACCACTGAATGGGCAAATTTTGTTTACATGTCACAGTTCCTTGATAGAAGAGACAATGCACATGTTTAAAGCATCTTTTAAAATGTTTAAAATTATAAAACATTTTGAAAAAAAGAAAAATGAGGTGGTTTTATCATGTTAGTATAACTAAACCACCCTTATGTAACCCTGAAGACTAATATGAATAAGTGTTGCTCCATCATATTCTTTTGACATCAAGGAGTGGGATTGGATAGCAGATTTTACATTATTTCGAATGTAAGTAACAATTATTTCAACCATAACTCTTATTGTAAAAACAATGTACATTAAAACAAAGTTTACCAACTAACACAATGGCCTTGACTAGGATTTTTCAGCTGGATTCCTTTTAGAAAAGACCAATGTGTCCAATTTTTATCATACAACCGTCATTTGTCTATTTTGGATTTAAATGTGCTCGGGTAATATATCTCGGTATCAGTAGTTAGATAAATCTACAACATTACTATCAATCAAAAAATAATTTAACTGAAACAAAAAATAGAAATAGTGATTTAATAATCTCAAGTGGCATTCTAGGTACAGCTTCATACAAAGCAATATACAAATGATAATCTATGGAAAAGTTGTCATGAATATTAATAGTATGAAAAAACACATTGCAGTAATTGTAATTATATTTTGTACTTAATTCTTTTAAAAGATTTAGAGATGACTTCAAGAAATCAACAAGGTACCATTACAAGAAAATTTTAAGCTTAAATGCTGTCTAACAAAAAATACTATGTTAACACCTAATTGTCATAAGATACAGCGCTGGACGAAAGTAAAAATACTGAATTGCAGTCGTGTCCACTATTTGCCACATGATTCAGCAAGAAAAATTACATTACATTTAATACACAGAAGAAATAACGATGATTCGTAGTTCGTCACTACACTCTAATTGCCCAGCACACCAATGGGTATCCATCCAAGTAAGGGATAAAAACCAATCTTTTATTAAAGTAACAGCATTGGCTGTATCCTTGCATCTACTGAGTAGAAATATATTCAACTCCAACATGACAAAATGGAATAGACCTCCTGACTTTAACTATCAACATACACAGTACTTTAAGTTTTTTTTTTCAAACAAAATTTAAATTACTAGATAATAACATCGTATTTGTGGATTCTACTAGGTAAAAAAGTAAAAATAAAGGGAGTTATGAAGGATGCTTGGAAGTTAAGAAATAAATATTGCATAAATTAACAAACTACCTGAACCAAAGACAGGTATATGATTATGAACAGATACAATGCCTATACAGGCAATATAATTTGGTTATGTGTCGAACAAAAAATGTCCAAACGATCAAAACAATGATTTACAATAGCAAAGTGCATACAAATTCATATCTTCTCCTTGTAAAGTTAACACAACATACTAAATCACTGAAATTGATCATTATAATTATGTGACCGGGGAGTCAATCAGTGGGTTTGTCTCATTTATCCCTGTGTTATTTGACTTTTTCTAAACTGTGCATCAGTTCCATTCACAAACTTGAATATTTTACTTAATGTTACGTGGGTTGCTTTCTCATCAGATGGTTGTAACTGTCCAGACAGCACAAAATTATAAAGAATAAAAGGATACATTTGTATTGGGGGTGAGAAACAATACAAGAAAAAGTTCAAAATGCACAATTTTGGAATTTCCTTTCAAATCTAAAACCAGGAACTAATAATACAATGTGTTCCATCTTACCCTGTAATGATTATCATAATTCCCTAAAATTCTGAAAATTAATGATATCCATACGTCTAGTTTCAGACATGCATGACCCCGAAAACTGAATGTGCCTAAAGAATTATTTGCCAACCTCAGTCCAGATCTGTACCTGTCATTTTTCTTTCAGGGTCAACCTTTCCACCCACTTACAAGAAAGTGACCTAAGAGTAGGGGGTTGTGTCTGATGCAAATCAAAGTATATATAACTATATACTTCTTCTAAATGAGAGAAATGATTGGAAATCTCAAGATTTTTGTTTCAGTTTTGACATTAAAGCTGTATTTTCCTTCTTCATTTGCTGGTAATCTGACGTAATCTTCTCCAAATTACTCAGAACTTTGTTCTTGCTTTCATTCTCAATCTGTCAAGAAAATCAATGATACATTAATATCACACACCTTGATATTTGCAATATTTTAATATAAAAATGCCGAAAATATACTTTTTATAATATCAAGTGTTAAAATCATTGTCTGGTACTAAGTTTTTGAGAAAAATGAAGTAATACCAAAGAAAAGGAATATGGCGAAACTAACTCAAACTCTGTTTTTATTTTGGAAGATATAAGTGGTGAAAAGAGTTTATTGCAAGAGCAATACATACAAATCTTAATGAAGTCAATACATGTTAACTATATTTTACCTGGTCCTCCAATTCTCGTATCTCCCTCATAATTACACCTGTTTCTTCCACTGTAGATATCAGAAGTTCACAACTCTATAAACAGATTAAACAAAAATGAATGTACAGAACAGGGCAAAATTCATTTATAGAAATTCTAAAGGAATGTGTATCTTGCTACCAACATCCAGGAATAACAAAAGTACTAAAGGCCAGAACAATATAATAGTACACCTGTCACATTCAAACAGAGATCTACATTATTGTATCAAAATGAATCCAAATATGGAAATGAAACAGTAAATATCTACCATGGGTAGATAAAATGACACAGAGAAAGCATAAATTTATTTCATTACAACAAAATCAATTAAGTTTAAAAGAAATCAGTTTGAAACTGAACAGATCTCCACATCAGATCAAAAAGCTGAAAAGAAGGGCAATAACTTCAAAAACTCGTCAGTTCAAAATGCTTTGTGAAAACAGTGCTGTCTGTTTAAATAATAAAGCATATTAGGTTAAAAGTGATCAGTTGAAAACAGAGAGAAAAAATCTGTGGACAGAAGTAAAATGCAGAGGAAACAAAGGGGAGTAACTGTAAAAAAAAATTGTTGAATCTAAATGCCATTCCTATCACACTAACTTGACGTGTCTTCAATAGAGAGAACATTTGCATGTATGTTCTCCATTTGCAAGCAAAGAACAATGCCTGTGTAACAGATTTGCTACTGCTTTCTAACTCCTCCAAGACTGGTAAGCATTTTTTTTTAAAAGAACAGAAAATATGAACAACACCAAAAAAATAACCAGATCTTATAAAGATATTTGTTTTTGTATGTTACAAAAAAGTACAACGCTTCTTCAATCTTCAAAAACCAACATGTTTATGATCAGTACACACACTATGAATGATTTATTTATACAGAACACATTTCCTTCTCATACACATGCAGTACAAACTCTGGAAGGCTGGGGAAAAACAAATTCTTTTTGTTTCAGACAAACAATGGTGGATGCTCACCAAGCCAATCTCATGATCTACATTATATTTCTGTTTGACCTTCAATAACCACAGCAATGTCACGATGAATTCTGTATTGAATGGCTGTTTGACGTGTCTTACCTCATGTAAAGCTGCAAGGTGCCTGTAGGCCTTCTTAGCTGCTTCATCTCTCTTGGCATTCTAAATATAAAATTTATTAAGTGATATATACACAAGCATTCTTATTTCAATATTGTCAAGTTCTTCTGTCCCTAAGATATCCCTATCACTGATTTCATCTAAATAAAGTGATATAAAGAAAAATGTTACTGACAAATATAAACACAACTCAATGGAAATGATCAAGGGCCATCAGACCAGAAGTTCTGCCTCAAGAATGGGAACCTGGCAATGTACTATAATGAAGATGTTTGAATGATATAAATTCCAAAGTACAAGCCATTGTAATGCACAATGAAATCTTATGATAATGTAGAGGACTAAAACAAACAGTTTTAATTTCCCAACAACTGATAAACTTTGGTCAAATGACTCGTACTAACCACTACAGACCAAGGAAGACTGAATGTGTCAGTTGAAATAATAATATTACCAGTTTTTCTGACATGTGAAAGGACGACTGAGGTAACAGTAACTAGACTCACTCTAAAGATTAGTTCATCAGTCACAGTAAATGTTCTGTCAAGTTTTCCAGTTAGCTGGTTTATCTCTTTCTGAACAGCTCGAGTATCAATCAAAACCTAAAATGTACAGAATTTTCTATAAAACTGTTGTAAAAAAAAGTGTAAAATTCAATAAATGTTTATGTAGTCTACAAAACATGATGCTTAAAGTTACGTTATTTTGCTTTTGTGAGTTGTAATAATTTGAACGTATTAAATTTTATTATCTGAAATGTGAATATATGCATATATATAACAAACACAGAATTAGCAGAATTTTACTCAAATACCTCCGTTATGTTGTATCATACTAATGAATTTATAAAAGATAAAAAAAAAAATTTGAAGCCTCGGAGTTGAACTCACTGTGCTGATTCCATCTTTCTGCTTTTTAATGTTTGACACTATTTCCATAATACGTTTCGTGTAAGCTGATCTGTTGACATCTTTGGTCATTCTTTCGTACTCGGCCACCTGGTAACATTTATAATAGCAATAAAATTACAACCAGAATGAGTCAATTATTTTTATGATACAAAAAGAACCCTATTTCTTTAAAAAAAACAAAAACAAAAAAAAACATGGACATGCTAAAAAAGCATCACTGGAAGCAAGGCTGATTAATTAACATATTCACCATACTGAAGAATGTCACACTTCATTTTACATGAACATAGGAACTTGTTAAAACTTCTCAATATCCAAATAGTCTCCAGAAACTAAAGTTACAATAGACAGGAAAACATTTATGCAGATTTATTAACTTTCCATTTAAACAAGGAACAAATTCTTTATTCACAACACAATCAGTTATTTACATGATTAATCTACTGTATGTCATTGTGACTTACAACATGACTACAAATGAGTGATCAGTAGGTGAATTAAATCATATAATAAAACTGTCTAGGTTGAACCCTGAATAGTTCAGAGACTGTCCAATTCAGATACCTTGTGGTGTTATGACATGATCTCTATATCATATTCCTGATGTTGTAGTTAATATACATACATTCTTTTGTCAACAATCTACATCAGAATAAGACACAGGAGATTATGATGTACAGCCGATCTTACCAACTGTTTTAAGTGTTCTTCTTTATGTCTGGCTTCATCAGCTACCTCCTTCATTCTCACACGGAATGCCTTAATCTCTTCAAGTTTCTTCTCTGCTTCAGACTGGTAAAATAGGCAACAGATAGGTATAATGGATGACAAACAACAGCCTTGTGAGCCAAATGACTGGATACAAACCAAAGACTGATAAAGTAAGCCATTATGACAAAAAAATAAGATCATTATCAATAATCAAGCTTTAGATATAATTCGTTCCTAACAGGGAGAAGAAAACAATGAGAATTGACTCTGAGGTTCCCTATAACGAGTGAGCTCCTGAAATCCAACATAGTGAAGACAAATCTCCTGACTCTAAGGTTTACCATCATTAGTGGTCTCCTAAAACCCTGTAGAGAGCAAACAACACTGAGACTGACATTGAGGTTCCCAACCATGTGGAGTCTCCTTAAGCCCTACAGATACAGAAAGAGGTCTGACCCTCCTCTACCACATGTGGACTCTATACACACTACAGAGTGCAGACAACTCAGAAGACTGACACTGAGCATCCAAATCATGTGGAGTCTCCTAAAGCCCTACAGATACAGAAAGAGGTCTGACCCTCCTCTACCACATGTGGACTCCTTACAACCTACAGAGAGCAGACAACTCAGAGGACTGACACAGCATCCAAATCATGTGAACTTTCCTAAAGCCCTACAGAAAAAGGACTGACCCTTCTCTATCACGAGTGGACTCCTTACACCCTACAGAGGGCAGACAACTCAGAGGACTGACCTGAAATACCTCATCATGAATAATAAAACCCTACAGAGAGGACAACTCAGATGACTGACCCAAAGTTTCCTCATCATGAGCAGGCTCCTAAAACCCTAAAGAGAAAGGAAAACTCATATGACTAAGCATGTGGTTCTCCAGCAGGAGTGGTCTCCTCCAACCCTTTAACTCAGAGGACTAACCCTGGGGTTTCCTACCATTAGTTGTCTCCTAAAACTTTAAAGGGAATGGACAAATTAGAGGATGACTCTTAGTTTCCCTATCGTGAGTGACCTGGTCATGTGACTTCCTGTATAATTCCATATCAAAATTGGTAATGACAAGTACACATGTCAATTTCTATCTTAACAACTTTGACCTTGACCTTTGATTCAAGTCAAAATTTGAACTATTACATATTTTACTTCCTAACATCTGTAGAAGTTTGAAGTTTCAGCAGGATAAATCTTAAAATGAACTCAACAAAGCATTGAAAAGCAAACATGGATGAAGACAGGGACAGAAAACATAAGACGATACATGTGACATATATAAAATAGTGTTAAGAGATATAGAGATCACTAACCTCCTTTTTAGAGCTGAGATCTTTAAGCTCTCTGTACTGGTTTATTAAAGGTGCTCGATGCTTCTCCCACTGATTAGCAAGCGTGACAAGTCGCTGGGCGCTACTGTCCACCACAGTCTACAGGAAAATCAAACCAGACAATAACAGTTATTTGTATATCATTACCTATTCAATTTGAATAAACTTAAAAATATTCAAAGGTTCAAAACTGGATTGTAAGTTGAACCAATGAAATGAACTTTGCTCCAGCCCAAATATTTATCATACAATGATATTGTATTGAGTTTGGTAGATAAAGCTATGATGTTAAATTTTCAAAATTAAAAACAAATTCTTAAAAAGATTGCCTTGAGTTTTGAATTTAAATACTAATTGTATGTGTATGTTAGTACCTGTAATTTTGCAATATTGTTTTCAGCATCTGGCAGCAAGTCAAGTGTCCTCTTTTTAACCTTGTAAGCCTCTTCCTTGTCTGTGTTGGTGCGAGCCTGGCTGGTAATCTCCTCCTCCATCTGCTGAACACTTGCTGTGAAAGTCCGCATCTCCAAGTCCATCTGCTCTAGCCGAGACACCAGGCCAGACACCTCTTCACGTAGACTCTCCACCTCCTTCTCTCTCTGCTGCTGAATCTCCTGGTAACGTAAAACAGTCACAATGATTCTTCCACCATAATTCACATATCAAAATTTTGCTACCAAACACTAATCCGTGCCACAAACAGAAGGCCCACAGGGCCAGTATCAATTACCTGGCTTGGCTTGGCTAAAAATTGCTTCATTAAAACTACAGGATAAAGGAATTCTACATATCCAAGTACACAACACAAAACAACTCTATTTTCCTATTTGACCCCAACCCTCTCTTCTTAGGGGGTCAGCCAAACTATTGATATATCAGACCAAATTATTCATACCGGAGAAGTAGGATTTGAAAGAATTTACCCTATTTCTCCTGTTGGGCCCCATCCATCCTGCCCCTGACACTGAGATTCACTATTTATTCCAACTTGATTATGCTTCCCCAACAATGCTTCAGACCAAATTTGGACAAAATCCAATCATTCCTATAGGATTTTAAAGAATTTGCTCTATTTCCCTATTTCCTCTTTTGAGCCCTGCCCCTCAAGTCCCTGGAGGTTGAGACCCATCATTTTTACAAGACTGACCTCCCTTCCCCCTTCATAAAATGAATGAATTTTACACAACCACAAATGACAGAACATCTAAAGGGTTACCCATCCATGTTTAGTTTATATACCTCTTCTGAGTGGCCTTGACCTGCTTCAGAATCCCCTCCCATCTGTGACATGGTCTTCTCTTCATCCTTAAAAAGCAAAATGTATCATAAGTCCACATATACTAATATTCTGAAACTCAAAAAAAGAATTTCATACACCCAAATTAAAATTATAACATGATTACCCCAACAAAAAGGTTTGCCAACATTTACCTTTGCAAATATGAGTTGTTCTGTGTGCGTAAAGCGAGAACCTTTGGTTTTAGTACCACCCCCTGCCCTGCTGCTAATAGAGTCTATCATCTGTTGTAGATCCTGTGCCTTCCTGGAGGCTGCAAAATCTCCACTCCTCTGTACATCCTGACGCAACTGGTCCATTACTCGCTTTTGTATCTTGTTCTTTTTCTTTTCTCTGTATTCCTGTCAGAATTCAACATGCAATAATACATCCAACAAGTATAACAGTATCTTATACACCTTATGTCACTCAAGATCTTGTGATGCACAAAAGTCAAATACAGACTTAACAAGTTTACTATCTTTTCCCTTAAGTAGATGTCAAGTTTATTCCTTTGAATAAATTTGATTTACCACAACTCACATGCTATATAGATAACAAACCTCAGCATTTTTATCAGTAATTCACAAGTTTTTTCCTGTCTGCTTTTACCTCTTTTGATACCCTTAATACCAATCCAGCCTTGTTCTTACTTGTTCTGACAGCCTTGAGGCCAATCCAGCCTGGTTCCATTCATTCTCCCACTCCTGCTGGGCTGTTATTTCACTAGCCAGTTTCTCAATGACAGATGGGGAGGTATCATGGTGATGGACTGTTTGATTGGTTACATAGGGAAGACTTTGGGAATAATAGGATCTTAATACTGGAAATTAACCAAAAGTATTGTTTTAGTGACAATACAATAACAGAATTGTTCAAATCCACACCATTGTTTTTCAAATTCTAATTGAGTAGACAGTCACATGCTGACCATAAATGAAAGCATTCTGAAATTTGAACATAAATCATTCAGACTCGATAGCAAAAATGCTTTCCACAACAAGAGATCCCAGAGGGATCTTGGCGCCCACCATTTGAGGATCTGTTTTCAGTTCTTGAAGATTTGTTTATATTTTTTTTTGTTTGTTACAGGTGTTGTAAATGTTCATGAACTGGTCTTCATTGAATGTACTCAATGATGGCACAAGATATTTTTATTAAGCACCTATTAGCAAATATCATTTGAAAAAGTTCCCAAAGTATTATTAGATAGCAGTCAGTTACAGGTGGATAATGGACAATATGCTTGTGCTGTATTACTGTCGACATCCAAGATGGCTGCCTGTGGGCCATCTTGAATTCGAATCAGTCCAAAAAAGGTACAATGCTCAACTAGGGACAAAGGGGAAATTGCATATGAAATTTGAGAAAGATCCATCCAGTTCTTTTTCAGAAATAGCGGTAACAAACTTTTACATCCAAAATCCAAGATGGCTGCCTGTCGGCCATTTTGAATTTGAATCAGTCAAAAAAAGGTACAATGCACAACTAGGGTCCAAGGGGAACCTGCATATGAAATTTGAGAACGATCCATCCAGCACTTTCCAAGAAATAGCAGTAACAAACTTTTACATCCAAAATCCAAGATGGCCACCTGTCGGCCATCTTGAATTCGAATCAGTCCAAAAAAGGTACAATGCACAACTAGGGTCCAAGGGGAACCTGCATATGAAATTTGAGAAAGATCCATCCAGTACTTTTCCAGAAATAACGGTAACAAACTTTTACTTCCAAAATCCAAGATGGCCACCTGTCGGCCATCTTGAATGCGAATCAGTTCAAAAAAGGTACAATGCACAACTAGGGACCAAGGGGAAACTGCATATGAAATTTGAGAAAGATCCATCCAGTACTTTTCCAGAAATGGCGGTAACAAGAATTGTTTACTGACAGACGGACCACGGATGGCAGGGCGATTTGAATACCCCACCATCTGATGATGGTGGGCTAAAAAATGAAGTGATAGAATTTATATAAGAGTTTTCTATGAAACAACTCTGAATTCATTGCTACATATGGCATGGTTTTTGAGATATGGATCCAGATTAAAGTCATGGAATCATACCTTTGGGAAGTTTCCTTTTAAGGTCTGTCAAGCCCTGAGGTATATGTAGGTGGGAGGCATGAAACTTACACAGCCCGCTGGCACCCTGGTGAGGGAAACATGTATTACCATGAGAGCAACACCAGCAAAAAGTCAAACATAACTTTTGCAAAGAAATATCCATCTGTCATATGTAAAATAAAACCATCACTTCACCTGGTGATGTTAATATAACACATACAAATAACAAATATAACAAACAAAAAAAATAACCAAAAAAAACCGTATTTTTCATTTGTCAGATGAAGGTGCTGTATAATTGTCATTAACATGAATGACACTGATGACATAAGATGGAGAGGATTCCAGTACTTCTCATGTTGCTAACTGCTATCAGTACAGTGTATTACATAGTTGTAGCACTAGTGTTATAGTTGCAGTACTAGCGTTAGACAGCTATGCTAGGTTTGTGTGTTGAGTTGTTGTACACATTACCTCTCTTTGCCAGTGTGGAGGATTTCCCCTCCATGCAATACTTTTTTGTTTGAGGTACGGCGGGGTCCAAACAGAGTTCAACTGCTGAGCCAGGGTAGAAGCTATCGTTCTCTGTAGCAGTACAGATGCCCCTAAACAAGGACATAATAGTGTTATTCCATATGAACAACTTATATTTTATACATAATACTAGTGATCATCAATGGATCGTACTGAAATTTCACACAATATTAAAGGATTCTATTTAATTTGAGATGTAAAATGACATTTGATTGGTCAATGAAAATAATTTCAGACAATGTAACCAGGATATACCACTCACAAATTTCTCATTTATATATATATATATCTTGTCGGGTCCTGTTGGACCCAATGAAAATAATTTCAAACAATGTAACCAGGATATACCACTCAAAAATTCCTCATTTACATATATATATCTTGTCTGGATCCCGATGGACCCCAACACATCATGAAAATGATTTCAGGAACAATAGTGTCCAAAAGGTCAATGAATTTGTTCTTGACTTTGAATGTTATTTGTATCATGGACCCTAAACAATATAACCTAGATTTCTGAAATTATGGACAGAAAGAAAAGCACCAGATTATCCTTATTTTTCCTTTCATAAATAATAAATAATAAATAAATAATAAATAAATGAATTACAATAGGGATTGAATTGTTCTGAATTGTCATGATATGTCTATATCACTGTCACTGACATATTGATGTATTGCTGGTCTCAAGTTTTATGACAAAATAGATTTTCAGGACTAAATGACCTAAAACAGCTAAATTTGCATTTCATAATATTGATCATGTTACACTCACTCCCATCTAGTGCCTATTTCATATTATCTCTGAGAAACTTTACTTTTAACAACTTCAACTTCAACCAAATCAACACACAATATCTCTGCAAACTGAATTTACAGAGTTTTAATGATAATGTATATAAAACATTTGTCAGTGAATGTTGTAGTCATGTTTCAGTTTTGTTGGGACTCAAATACTTCAGTCCTGCATTCATGATTTTCCTGTGGGATTTACTCAAATTTTGCGGACCCACTATATCTCGTAGTAGTGGGATTCATCAAAATTTTGGAAATGGTGTCATAGATTCCCCTGAAAAAATCCTACAAAAAAATACTGTATTTGGAAGTGTTGTAATCTTACCCAGAACTTCCTCTACTGCCTCTGCTGTTTCCTTAGGTAACTTGTCCACCAGAAACATAAGCACTCTCCTGATTTCTTGTTCATTGGAATAGAGGAATGTCTGGTAACCAATTTCACCTCTGTAACCAAGTTCCTTGAGAAAATATGAAAAACTCATTCATCATCATTTCATCTTCACATATTGAGATATTTCATTTTGTTGACAGAAAATTTTAATTAATGAGCAATTCATAAAGTAGTCAAAATGCATTTGTTACTTTACAACCATACAAAATCAATAGTTTTCTCCCTTCCTTCAGATTCCGATCTTTATAACACCATGAAATAGAGAATTTTCTCCCTGCCTTCAGATCTCGATCTTTATCACAGCATACACAAAATCAATAGAGTTCTCTCCCTTCCTTCAGATAGCGATCTTTATATCACCATGTACAACAGAGTGTTCTCCCTTCCTTCTTTCTGAATCTATTTAATAAGCCTCTTGCTTCATACATATTCATAATTAACCTAAAAACCAATGTGGCTATATAAGAATGCTCCTGCCAGTACTGTTTACCATCTATGGATAAATATAAGTTACCTGGATATGAGCAGCCATAGACGTGCCAATCCTAAACTTGGCAGACATTCCACCAGGAAGTGAGTTTGGAAGATCCACTTCATTATTGATGACCTTGAGACATCTTACAACTGCTGACACTATCAGCTCTGTTGAGAATTGCTTCAGATTTGTGACATCCTCTTCTATGTCACTGTTAGAATTATTCAAAATAATTAACTATTATAAAATTATGTTTGTAAGCATATAAATTTTATTTAAAATGTCAAAAGGTTACAAAGGGGGTGGGTGGGTATTGTGTCCAACATGATAAAATAAAGGCAGACCCTTCTGATCTTATTTTGCTTCCTAGTGAGCTTTTTACCAAGCCTTCTGAGGACTGTATTGATGTTTGCTGGTCCATCCATCAACCTTTTGCAATCCTTTCCAGAGACTCCATGCAACATAGAGAGATGCAGACTGTCCCTGAACTGGTCTTTGTGTGATAATGCATCAGCAGGATTGTGCAATACAACTTTTGCACCTGCACAACTACTTTCTCACAGCCATAGAAATAGTGTAGCCCTGGTAAAATACTAGCCGCAATATACCACTCGGCTAGAGAGAAATAAGTTAAGGAATGCAAAAGGGCATCCTTAGCACACATTTGGTCCGAGATCACCACATTACAATCTATAATTTACTGTGTTGAGAGGCAAATGCAATGGTTGAATACACATTCTGAAACATTGTTGAAGGGTCTTGTTCTTAGATGAGTAAAGGTACTCATTTTAATAGTGTATATAGATGTGCTCATGAGCTCTATGAGGATGCTTGCAAGGTAGGAAATGATAGTTTAAATTGAGGATTGACCATCTTATGGGGAGCGATTGAATATGATTTCAAAACACCCCTTGTTATCATCCAAGGAGATTTCATGGCTGCACCATATAGAGGTCAATTCCTAGCACCGTGTATTGTTCCTCTAGTACAACTGATGTTCGAGCAGGACATGTACGACACCTTGCCAGAAGTTACAAGATTTAGTCGTGCTTATCGAACAGCAAATAATATCCACAACCTAGACTGACCTCCAAACAGTCATGACCTCTCCCTAATAGAACATCTATAGGATGAGTTGGACAGATGGATAAGATGTGGCTGAATCCTCTAATCAAGGTTGCTCAATTGACATCATCACTTGATGAGGAATAGAACAGCATATTATTGGGGTCAACATCCGGATCAATTAAATGCAGAAAAAATATTGTGCAATCACAACAGCTCATGGAGTCATACAAAAAAAAAAAAATGAACCCAAATCGCTTTTCACTTTAAGAAGAGTACCCTTGGATTAACTTGAAATTTTAAGACTAAACGTACATGTGGTACATAGATGACATTTTCACAGACGACAGCATGGATCCCAACCTTTCAATTGCACCGTTATTGCATTCTGTTACATTTATTCATTGTTTTTAATTTCGCGTAATATTTCTAATTGTATTTCCTTTTCCTTTCGGTATGAAATGTCAACGAATCGGTTTGTCCGCATAAACGAACAGGTCCCAGCTGACAGACACTTTTAAGACAGTCCTCATCTCACCCACTCAAGAGTTTGACAAGCCGGTCCATGACAAAAAGGAAAACATTGTATTTTCACGTACATGCATTGTCGTAGATGTTGCTTTAAGATTACTTTGTAACAATACTAAATTACTAAGTAGATACAAGAATGTTCAATTTGAAAATACACGTACCAACCGATCACTCGGAGGGAGTGAATGATAATGTGATCCACCTCCTCCATCTTGTCCTGTCATGTGACTGATTCAATAGAACCGGGCGGAATAACTGGTTAAGTTTAACAAATAACAAATATTGTTGAAATTATCATTCTTTTGCTTGATGTTTTAAATAATCTTAATGAATAATAATAACATTGAGACTGTTTCATATTGCAAAAATATTTTAATCAGAAGAATTTTCTGCGAAACTACAGTTGTAAACAACAATGGCGGCAGAATCAAGAAAAAGATAACATTGACAGAACATTTCTTTGAAATTCGGTCTCGTTTTTTGGATACATTAATGTTGAACTTCCAAAGAATTTTATTTTAACTACTGTTTAAGTGTTAAAGTCTACGATGGAGTCCGAAGAGGTTAACTTTCTAAAAGATCAAGGTTTGTAATGTGGCGCGGTGGTTTGTGCATGTTTGAACTTATCCAAGGATCACTGCACATGCAATTTATAATTCAGAGCGTTCGCAAGTTTTGTCAAATATATATTGTTGTAATGCCTGTGGCGATAAACTAAATAATATAAAGACGGTTTTGCGTTTTATACTTTATATTCATATTAGATAACTACAACTTATAGGTGTTAGATGGGTGTTTAGTATAGTAAATCGTTAGAATCACGTATTTTTTAAAAACTATATTTAGCTAGATAGATACAGGTCCAATGAGCCTCTTGTTTCTTATTCTCTCCTTGAATGCACACTTAGTTATTGAAAGCCAGTACACTCTGTCTTTACTTAATACGGAAATCAATTTTGAAAGAAAAAAAGATCCTCCATTAGCAGATGATAATGGATGAACAGATACGTACATAAAATCATGCAAGAGCAAATAAAATTGAGATGACTGATTTATGTGTATAATTCTTACTTAGATAACATGTATGGCAACAAAACGTTTTTACACTGCTCTGCTGATATTGATGTATACATTTTGGGTTTACAGTTCAAAGACTGAATGCAGCATTGTCAAAATATGTATCAGGTTCCTTGGATGAGCTTCCCCCTCTAGAGGTAAGTAATATTCACATAAACAGACTGAGGAAAGTTTTCTTGTTTATACAGTGTACACGTAAATTATGATGAGAGTCTATTCAATTTTTTTATACTTCATTTTTTATTTTAGTTATTATTTTATACAGTGGAATTTCATGTAGACCTTTTCTTATATTTTATGTTATAATAGGATATACTGTAGGAAAGCCTCTGGTAAGTATGGTACAGAATATGATATAAGATATTTAGTATCAGATGTACTTAATTGGGTTAAGTGAGAAGAAGAATAAGTAACAACTGACATTCTTTTAAATTAATATCTAAATAGATTGATTATTCAATTCAGAAGATTGAACATCTTTATGGATCACTAAATCAATATGAAAGTAAATGTAGTGTGAAGTTGTAATGTATTTTCTATTATTTGTACTTGTTTATAGGGGCCACTAGCCCAGGAGGGACCTACAGCACCATGGCTGACAGAATTCAAGTATGTCATTGAACTTTCTTTTTGCTTTGTCATACATGATATTATGCAAAGAATAAATAAGGTGTAGGGTAAATTAAATATAACTTATACTTCTATAAATCCATTTTTTACCATACATCATTTCTTCTTAATTGGATACAGAAGTATGTCATTGTTGTATTTCATAGTTATATAGAGTAAATGGTTTTAATTATGAATCTGTTTTATGCAAAATGATGTAAAACATTCTTATCCAAATGAAAAAGGATATATTACTGAATACCCAGTGTAAGTTTGTTAACAGTCAATACACTGTGTAAGTATTCCCTAAATTAATACATTGTCTCCATTGTCTCTGTGCTTTGAGTTGTCAAAGTTATCATTGAAAGCTCAATGCTATTAGTACATGAACATTTTAAAAGTATATAACATATTTTAATTTCCATAGTGTGTTATCTCCCTTGATTGCTGAGTATGACCAACAGCTGAATCAGTTACAACAGGAAGTGGACCTATACAGAGTGAGTATGTAGGAAGACTATAAATCATCAAGTACTCCACCAATCTCTGTGATTAGTCCAAGAATGCTGAAAATCCAAAGTCAATACATGTCAACTAAAGCAATATTCATCACATTTGTTTATTTATCTTTCAGGAAGAAATGGGTAACCTGAGGCCAGAGCTGGACAGAATTGTAAATGAAAATAATTTGTTATCCGCTCAACTGAAGGAGAAACTGGACAACCATCTGGCTGGCATACCCGCTGAATCAGAAGGAAGTGACTATAGTCCTACAACTGAAAATGAACAAGTCCTACACAATCTGCAGACACAGGCAGACAGTGCCTTACAAGTAAGTCTGATCTAAACACAGAATTCAGATGTCTCTTACCTCCTGAACTAGGAACCTGTGCAATCACATTTTTCCAAACCAAATCAGATTTCTGTGGCATCTTTCAGTTTTTGTACAATCATTGTATCAAATAACTTAAGTCCTATTACCCTTTTATGAAAAATATCTCCCACTAAATATTTCACATTGGAATATTTTGAAAATGCTTTGTCTCTGCAGCAAGTTTGATTGAATGCTAAAAGTAAATTTAGAGGCACTTACTTTCTTTATATTAACGAAAATTTCAATTTCAGGAAAAAGAAGCAGCAATATCTCGATGGCAGGAGGCTGATCAGGAGATTGACAGATTGCAAAGGCAGCTTCAGGTATCTAAACCATGGGAATACTCATTGATATATATATATTATATATGTATATTAACCAATATATCAATATATTGATTGATAGAACTTTGATAGAAAGAACTCAACTGACAAAAGTTAATTTCTCAAACTTAAAATTAAACAAAATTAGGAGTTTTCAGCATATGTTTTTGGTAACAGAGTTGATAGATACTGTTAAAATTTAGAGATGATCACTTCAACAGTGTTTGACTAAGCAATAACAAATGGAAATTCAAAAGGTTGAAATTCTTGAACTTATGTTTACAGAGTGAGAAGGACAGTCACCAATGGAGAGTGGTTGAACAGCAGGCGCAGAAGGTACAAAGCACAAGACTATTGTCATATATTAACATGGATTATTGTTTAAATTTAATTCAATATTCAGTGTTTACAGATGTTAGCAGATCTTAGCTAGTTGACAAGTGTTTACACATTTCAAACTGAAATAAAATCAAGCAATGATTATTGTTACAAGTGATGCAAATCACATGTCACCATGAATATGCATTCCTACATTTTTGTATTTATATGAAAATATACTTTATGTTCAATGGAATAGATGCAGACAGAGTATTATGAGACTGTTGGGGCCTTAAACAAAGAGTTGGAAGACACTCAACAAGACTTGAGGTATGAATATAGTCATGATGTTTTAGACAAGTTACATGTAGTCATGATAAACCAAATGTTTAATTAGATTTCACAGTATAGTACTCGTGATTTGATTATCATTCGTATTTTCTGGAATTTTGTTTGGATTAGTTTAACACATGAAGTAGAATTACATCTAAAACTCTCTTTTGAATGTCTGACAGACATTTCAATGACTCTTTAGATTTAATTTTGATAATACATGTATGTACAAGTTTATATACTCTCAAGTGGATATATTTCCTCATTTAAATGTAACTGCATAATATTAAATAAATGTGTATAAGATGTTTAATATTTACAAATTAATAGGTTAACTAAACAGGAATTAGAAGCAAAATTGATGGAAAACAAAGATCTGAAGAAAGGCAACAAAGATTTAGAACAGCAGCTGCAATGGAAGGTATTGCCTGACAATAAACTTGACACAGTATTAACAATAACGGGAATGGAACAGATTGGAAATATCCTAAAATTTACTTTTGTTTGCTTGATTTTTTTATTTGTATATTTGTTTGAGAGGTAATGAGACTAAACTAACAGTCTAAACCTGTAACCGTAGCACACAGCACAACAATCTTAATGATTCAATTTCACAAAAATGATTCTTGTAATTAATTTTTCTTGACAGTATATACTGTCAGATGTTTTTATAATTTTCATATTTCTGTTCAGTAAATGTGGCAGCATATAAGAAAATGTCATGTGATTAAAACACATATTAAGCATCATACAGTATATATATGATCTGAGACATACAAAAGTATACTATAATTTTTGTCACATTTATTATTACATCTGAGACAATGTAAACAATACAATACAGTTATCCTTATCAAAGACAATTTCTGTACATTAATCTCTCGACGACAACCTCTGTACAACAATCTGTCAAAGTTAATCACTGTACAATAATCTGTCAAAGTTAATCACTGTACAATAATCTGTCATAGTTAATCTCTGTACAATAATCTGTCATAGTTAATCTCTGTACAATAATCTGTCATAGTTAATCTCTGTACAATAATCTGTCAAAGTTAATCACTGTACAATAATCTGTCATAGTTAATCACTGTACAATAATCTGTCATAGTTAATCTCTGTACAATAATCTGTCAAAGTTAATCACTGTACAATAATCTGTCATAGTTAATCTATGTACAATAATCTGTCATAGTTAATCTATGTACAATAATCTGTCATAGTTAATCTATGTACAATAATCTGTCATAGTTAATCTATGTACAATAATCTGTCAAAGACAAACTTTTTTTTATTAGTCTGTTACAGACAATCTCTGTACAATAATGTTATGTTATTGTCTCTGTAAATGTCCATTGTCACAATTATTGAATCTTTGTCCATTTTAACTTTATAGGATGTTTATGTAGGTATTGATAATTCTTTATCTGATGGTTATCAATTTCTTTCCTCACAGGACCAAGAAATAGCTGATATTCTCTTTAAAGAAGGCGTGTCAGACAGCAGAGTGGGTGATATGAAGAAAATTTTAGACAATCTGCAGCAAAAGTAAGTGAACCCTGGCATTTTAATTTAGAAGTTGAATTTTTCTCAAAGTAAAAAATAGAGCTTAGTTTTCAATATGATGTCGTGATAGTGAAATTTTATACAGAAGAATCATATAGGATACAAAATGGAAAGTAGTAGTTGTAAATAATGAAAATCACATTCTTACTGAAGGCTCGAGAGGTTTGTGGATCATGCAATAAGGTAGAGAATATGATTTATAGTCTATAAAACTTTTGATTTATTCAGGTCCAAAAAACACAATTTTGAAAAAGTGTAAATTATATGTTTCTGTACACACTTAGATCTTTGCAGTATATGGTTTACCATGCATTTGTATTATATAATGTAGAGTGTAACTTCAAAACAATGCATATCCTGTATTTGTTTTTTTATCTCTTTCCTCAGATTAACAACAAAAACAAAAGAATCAGATTCCATGAAGATGGACAAAGATGGATTGGAGGCTAGAGTGAAGGAAATGCAGAAAAGAACGTAAGATTTCATATCTCAGGTTTGTAAGTAATACTCCTGTCTGCACCTTGCTGGCCTGTTACATATGTAGGATATGTTGAGTGATCTACTGCATGTCGGTAGATTTTGGTAAATCTTTAAGTCTTGTTATCTGCTACAGATTTCTAGCATTTATTTTGAAGGATTGGTACAAGTTTTTGGGGTAGATCTAGATACAAATATTTGTCAAATAATTTTTTTATTGTTATACTCCATGTTACTCTAAAACAAGTATATATCATTATATAGTGAAATTTCCCTGGTGTAGGAAGCCAGTTGTTGTGACTGTTTGGGAATGTTTATGTATCATCCATTTTACATGTACAGACCAATCTAATTGTCATGTGGTCAGTTGTACCATTTTTTTATTATTATTATTCTTTTATAGATGTTACAAGGCTTTTGCATACTGAACAAATCTCAAAATACATGTATTGAATTACAATTTTGTTTTCCTAGTAAATACTCTCTGAAACATGTTTATAATAATTTTCAATGGCTAGCTGAAAAGTTTTAGATTTGTTTCATAAGTTTATAAGCACTGGTAATCTAATATCAACTTGTACATGTTTCGCTAGTGCTGAACTGGAGGCGAAGGAAGTAGATGCTGTCACACAAGTCAGAGATGCAGTACAGATGGTGGAAAATGCTGTTTTGGAAAAAGAACAGGTGAAGCAATGATATTCAATCTTCATCATGAAATATGTTATTCCTTATTCTGGAAATAATGCTTGATATTTAATGTATTTTTGTTTGTTTTTTTGCTCAATATTGGTAAATTGATTTTGAAATACACTATAACCGTGCATATGTCTTTTGAGTTTGAAATTGAAACAAATTGTTTTATCAGGTAATTAGGGAATTTACTGTACTGGGATGTTTGTGTTGTTTGATTTAAATTGATGGTTGGTTATAAGTAATATTGTATCAGATAACTAGTTTGAACAGAATTTTTTGCTCTATTGATAATTTCTATGGAATCCAAGATTTGAACACAAGATGTAGGTTGTGTAGATGTTAATCATACGATTTTCAGGCTGAGGTGGAAGTAAAACAGAGAGATGAAGAAATCGAGAAGCTGCAAGATTCCATTAATAAACTGATTAATGAAGCTGGGATTCGCACCAGACAAGAGGTTTGTATTCTGACATTTGTATGTTAATACACTAGAATATCACAGAGGATTACAGTGATTAATGAAATCAATGACATTTATCTTCACTGTTGTAGACATTTCACTGTAATTTCCATTAAAATTGTGAAACATTCTTTGATTAAGCTGTACTGTAAAATCCAGTTACATGTATCAGTATGGATTCTAAAACTTGGAAAGGTTCCCAACACAAAGTTTATTTACAGAAGTCAACATAAATTGTATATTTTGTAATCTTTAGATGCCAGCAGAATCCTGTATGTGATCAACCTCTATGACTTGCATTGTATCGTTCTATATTTATATCTTCACTTAGCATTGATATAACAAAGAAATATTTAATACTTTGGACAAATCCTGTAGTAAATTTTATGGTAACCATTACAGGTGTGTAAAGTCAAACACATGGTTTTGTTTGTAGGTTGATAACATCCGACAACAAAGCAATGAGAGAATCACAAAACTTACAGAGGAACTTCATAGTCTGGAGATGGTAAGTCTTGTTAATCTGTTGTCCCCTTAAGGAACTTCACAGTCTAGAGATGGTAAGTCTTGTTAATCTGTTGTCCACCAGTCCAAAAACAATACTTAAACGTTGTGATATTTTAAAAGCATTGGAAACAGCCAGTGTTAATATGTGACATGTTCTGTGTTTCAATGATCCACACAATTTTGATTCCCATAAACATGTACCACAGCAATTTTCAACACACAGAAGGGTTATCCCTTAAGTGTGCCATAATTAGGTCACTGAATCTCAACATCAAATAAGAGACTATGAATAAATTAATATCAAGTAGAATTTATCTGGGTCAGTTTCTGTTAGAATTTATCTTGATCATTATTTTAGATTTTTAAACACTGGATAAGAAACTTCCAGGACAAGATTCTTCAGCTCGTTGAGATAAACGGGCTGTAATATTGTCCAAAAAAATAGGCTGGACTGAAATTCAAGGTCACAGACAAGAGGCAAAAATTTCTGAAATAATTTACAACAATCTGAACATTGAAAAAGACCTTAACATACTACCAGAATAATGTTAAACAAAAAAAAAAAAGACTTTGAAACTGTTTGACATGTGAATTTTATGTTATCAAGGAGAGTGCAGAAAAGTCTGAGATGTTACAGAGAGCCATCAGAGAAAAACGAATGGTGGAAGTTGAACTAGAAAAGGTGAGTCATAACACACTTTTATTTCTGTCTTAAGTTTTACCAAAACCAGGTTCATGTGTGTTATTCTGTACTCTTTAATGGTTAGAATTTTGTATTTAACTGCAATTTAATGCTGAAATCATAATGCATTCATTTTATAAATAAAAATGAAGGCGTAATTAATGGTGAAATGAGAACATACCTTTATTGTTTTGATCTTTTTCATCCCAGTCTTTTAAAGAATCTATGGCCCAAGCAGCAAAGGAGAAGGATGCATTTGAAGACCTAAACAGACGAGCTGTGAACGCTGAGAGAAGTCGAGATGACAATGATGTAAAATTGGACTCATTACAGAATGAATTGCGCCGTCAAGAAATGAAGTATGTCTTGTCAATAGTAAATCTTCTCCTTTCTTTGTTTCTGCTTGGTAATGTTTTTTTGTGGTAACTCCAGGTATGATAGATACAAAAACACTCTTTTATTAATTCTTAATTGCATGTAGCAACAGTTATACTTATAAAATTGACAGCATCATCATTAATGTGCAATTTCATTATTATACGTATTTACATATGAAATTCATTAGAGGATGTTAACTCATTTAGGAATATAATTACAATGAAAACACAGTATAGGATGTATATACAATATAAACTCATCAGAGGCGGTATTACAATGTAAACTCATCAGAGGCGGTATCACAATGTAAACTCATTAGAGGCAGTATTACAATGTAAACTCATTAGAGGCGGTATTACAATGTAAACTCATTAGAGGCGGTATTATAATGTAAACTCATCAGAGGCAGTATTATAACATAAACTCATTAGATGATATACTTACAACATAAATTCAATATAGGATGTATTTACAAGGTAAAATTTATTTGAGGAAGTGAATGTGAACACAGTGTATACAATGAGGTATTATAATTCAATGATATATATCACAAGTATATCACTCATTGTATTGCAGACACATTCAGAATTAAACTTGAAGCCAGAGTTTACAAATGATACAGGAACATTTACTCCTGTTTTGTTTTCTATGGTTTTATATACATGGATTAGATTTATAATATATATGTTAGTATTTATGCGTTATATAATTCAAATTGTTCTTAAATTCTGAAACATCTTTTTGTATAGCAATGAACAGCTGAAGGATCAGTATGAAACACAGTTTATGCAGATGAAGGATAGAATGAAGCAGATGGAGAATGAATTTGAATATCTCAATGATGACCGAGTACGCCTTCAGAATGAGGCTGATGAAATGAAGAAATCTGTATCAACAGCCAATAAGGAGAAGGAGTTTGCACTGCGCAAATACCAAAAGGAGGTACACATTTATTAAACAGTTACTGTATGGTAGTATACCTTAATCTTTCGACCCTTTTCCCACCTGTTAATGGTACCCGTTCAGTTATAATGACCTTCTCTGTAACTAATCAGCCAGGCACTGATTATAAAATAGAGTATATGTATATGTCCCTAAACTAACTAATTAAAGATGAAAAAAATGAGCTCTCTACCATTGTAAAATGTCGAAGTCACCTATATAGTACTAAGTTAATGAAAACCGACCAACATCCCTGGAATAAGGGGACAGTCTTGTAGTTTAATTGATAAAGTACTACTTTGTGTATTTATTGTATTCCCTTTTTACTTATAATTACGTATTGATTGGTAACATTATTTTTCTGTGAATTCAGATGACAATCTTGGAAAATGAACAACAACAGAAGATGCAGGATTATGAAGTAAGATTGCAGAGTTCTGAAGATGCCAACCGTCATGCTATGGGGGAACTAAGAAAGCTATTGACAGGACAACAGAGAATGTCTGCCAAGTAAGGAGGTTTCAGAAATGGAAACTAAGATTTTTTTTTATCATAGTCCACATTAAAAGTTTCTTCTTTTCTTCAGTGATGTATTCACCATCATTATTTTCTCTCTTTAGAAACATGTGTTATGTTATGTTGTTTTTCATTTCATCCAGAATTATTGTTATGTAACTTATCTATTAGATATGGTGTATTTATGAATTTTCATTTCATTTGAGAGTAATGAAACAAGTCTTAAGAATTTTTCATGTAAGAAAAACTCTGGTAAATTGAAATAAGTGAATTTTATTGACAAGTTTTGTAGATATTACTTGTCATTGAAATTCACACAGAGTCCTATTAAGATTTTTCCTGTAGTGAGTACTGTAGGCTCCTATTTATATTCCAATAAATGTTTTTCAAAAATATTACAGGAAACAGTTTTCTTGCTAATCTTGAAGCATTCTCATACTTCACAAACATGGGTATTTTTGGAGGATAGGGATATTTCAACCCTTGTGTAAGAGTTAGTTGGGCTGCACTCAGCAAACTTCATGCGGACCAACCATATGCTAACACTCGGGTTGAGATACCCCTGTCCACAGAACAGACTCAATATATGATTAATCTCTGCTTATGTCAAAATAATCTATTGTAACATGAAGACAAAATTGTGTCATAATTAGGTCATCTGACCCGAAGGGTCGAGATGACCTGTAGCCATCGTGCTTCGTCCGTCGTCATCCGCTGTGCGTCTTCCGTAAACTTTTCATTCAAAAATCTTCTTCTCAAATACTAGAAGGCCTAGGGGGCTAATACTTGGCCCATAGCATGCTGGTATGGAACCCTACAAAGTTTGTTCAAATTAATGACCTTCAAGGTCACAGGGGTCAAATATGTTAAAATATACAAACAACTTCTTCTCAATAAGCAAAAGTCCAAGAGTGCTGATAATTGACCTGTAGGATGCATGGATGACATGCTACCAAGTTTGTTCAAATGAATGACCTCGACCCACTTTCTAGGTCACAGGGGTCAAATATGTTAAAATATACAAACAACTTCTCTTCAATAAGCAAAAGTCCAAGAGTGCTGATAATTGACCTGTAGGATGCTGGGATTACATGCTACCAAATTTGTTCAAATGAATGACCTTGACCCACTTTCAAGGTCACAGGTGTTAAATATGTTGTAATATGCAAATGACTTCTCAATAACCAAAATGATTAGAGTGCTGATATTGGGCCTGTAAGATGCTTTGAGGAAGTGTTACCAAATGTGTTCAAGTGAATGACCTTGACCAACTTTCAAGATCACAGGGTTCAAATATGTTAAAATCTGTAAACGACTTCTTCTCAGTAACCAAAAGGCTCAGAGTGCTGATATTGGGCCTGTAGGATGCTGGGAGGAAGGGCTACCATGTTTATTCAAATGAATTAAGCCCACTGTTTTAACGGCAGACTCACTGTTGTTAGAGTTTGGCTTGCTTTTTGTCAGATGACCGTTAAGGCCCATGGGCCTCTTGTTATTTCATGATGTTAAAATTGCCATGTGGTGTAAAATCTCATAAACATTTAAAATGATATCACAGAACGCATCCATGGTACAATGTACAACATTTCTCATAATCAAGGTAGTTTCTAATGGTATATACAACATTAATATTACCTCAAGCATGCAACAAGATATTTAAATCATTCAATTAAAAATTCTCTCAGAGTAACATCAACATCTCTAAGATGTCTTACTCTTTTTTACTTACCTTTTGTTTACTTATGTAGGTAAGAATTGAGTCAGTAATGACAGAGGACAGGTGCTGCATTGTCATTAAGAATCCTTTAAAACAATATTCCTTTCCTGAAATTATAGAAATCTGTAACCTTTGTTGATTAAGTATGATTTTTTAACACAAAGTGATTTGTTGCTTTTAATCACATTTTATAGTAATGATAGTGATAATAATAATAAATGATAAAAAACTTAATTTAAGGTTGATGACATTTTAAGTTTACAATACTTTTCTTACAAGTGGTCGACATAAAAAATGCACAATATTTACAATCAATTTTAGGTGGAAAGAAGAGTGTGAGACAATAACTAAAAAGTTTGAAGTGAAAATAAATGACATGAGAACAGAGATGAGTCATGTACGTAAGAGGAACGATGAATTAACAACTTTACTACGGGACAGCCAAGCAAAAACAATGGAGGTATGATTGACTTGGAATGATATATAGAACCTAAGGTTCATTATTTGGTCAAACTGAAAATGATGTGACACTGGATTTTTAAAAATTTTTGTGATTACCTTTTCATATGAAGTTTTAAGCAGTAGTTCATTGTGTTGTTTTTTTCAATACACCTCAGGCAGAAAAGATGATCACTGATTATGCGCGGAACATCTATCGTATGGAGGAGAGAGTGCGGGAATCTGAAACACGAGCAGCAGAGGCCACGAAACAGGTAATGATACAAAACATTCTCAAGTGAACTTTTAATTTAGATTACAAAATGGGAAGTCAAACCCAAGACCTTACTTTGTGATTGTAATGACATAAGTCTATGTATTCATGTATGATTACCTGTTGTCTTGACAATTTATGAGAAATAAACAGATACAAATTTATATTTTTAGGTCACCTGAGCCAAAGGCTCATGGTGACCTATTGCCATCATGATTTGTCTGTCGTCATGCGTCGTGTGTCGTGCGTCGTTAATTTTTCACATATTCAAATTCTTCACAAGAACCACTGAATGGATTTTGACCAAACTTGGCACAAAGCATCCCCATGGGAAGCCACTTCAGGTTTGCGAAGAAAAAGGGCATGGCCCCAATAGGGGCCGCAGGAGGGGAAAAAAGGGGGTAAAATTAGGTAAATCTTTAAAAACTTCTTCGCATGAACCAACAGTCAGATTAACCACTGGGATGATCATGTCTAAACTTGATACAAATGTTCTACACAAGGTCCTAGCAAGTGTTTTAACTTTTTGGGGCAATTCAAAATCCAAGATGGCCACCCTGGCCTCTGTTTGGTTAAGACATTTTGGACTTCCTCTCAAGAACCACTGGGTGGATCATGTTCAAACTTGGTACAGATGTTTTACACATTTTTGCAACATTTTAAAATCCCCAGATTATTGACATATATTCCTCAGGTGACTGTTAAGGCCCCTTGGTCCTCTTGTCTTTGTGATTACATTGAAGTCTATGTACTTGTGTATGTTTACTAGTTGTCTCCACAATCTGTGAGACAGATACAAATTTCTATTTTCTTTGTGATTATATTGAAGTCTATGTACTTGTGTATGTTTACCAGTTGTCTCGACAATCTGTGAGACAGAGACAGATACAAAGTGAGCGGAGAAGTCTGATAAACGAATTACAGCGAAGTACATCAGGGTCACCAAACAGATCCGCCAGGTAGGTGTTACAGCATGGTATTGAAAATGGTGTGCAGTAACAGAGATCAGAGGTTGTGGGTTGAAAATGTCAGTGTCGGGCATAGCTGATGATCAATACACCTAGCTTTACCCTCGTAGTATATATACACATTGGTTATATTGTATTCAGTATGTTAAAATTCCAAAGGCGATATACCCACATAGTGTTCAAAAGACAAACGGCCACAGTCAACCAACTTCAATTGAACCCTTGCACAAGGTAACTTCGGGGAGAATACAAATATTTGTAAATAGCAATCTTAAAGTAAATCTTGTCATCTAATATAAATTCCTGTTGAAGAGAGTGTATTTAAAGGATTTTGAATCTAGGGTGATTGTGAAGGGGATACATTTGTTAGATTGCCTTGAAAAGTTATTGAAGTTTACTGACGTAATTTTATTTCATAGTCCTTAAGTTAAAAGTAATGTTGCACACCTTTTTGACAGTAAAGAATTGGATTTATTCTTATTGAAATATATACTGAAAAAGTCTTAATAGGTTTATTGATTTAGAGCAAGTAAAATTGTTTGTATTTTTCATTTCATTAAAGTATGTAATAGATGCTTGATTTTATATACTGGATTTGAAGTTAATGAAAAATGTTTCAGTTTTTTCAAATGGAGAGGTAATGTTAAATATTTTGTTAATATGAACATCTAAAATATTAAACAATGTAAACTCACAGTCTGGTACAGATTTAAACTTTAATTCAGCTTGAAGTTGGTCTAGTTCATTATCAAATACTTTCTGTAATTGTTTTGTATGCTGATTCAAAAGCACTAGTTTCTTCACCTAACCATCAGAATGATAAAATCCAAGCAAATGATGCATCTATCATTTTTTTTATAAAATGCACAGATAATTTCTGACATGTACTTATTAACGATAATGGTATTTTTTATTTGTTTGTGAAGTTGACAATACCCATAACGTATAAAGATATTTGATAAATTTAAAAGGATTTGATAATGACTATACATATTCAGTGTATTGATTTTAGGATTTGTTTGGTTTTTTTTTTACTTTTTCATTGTGAAGGTGTTACAGAAGTTTTATATTTACACTTATAGGAAATTTGTTCAACATTTAAGAGCATGTGATAAATGACTGCTGAGAATTTTTGATAAATGCTTTCTTAGTTTCATTCTGATAAGAGAGAGAGCCAACTTGGCGTACATGATATTTCAATCAAATACCGTACTTTGGTTTTAAGTAGTAATTGTCATCTTCCAACATGAAAATCTCACATAGATGTAGAATGGTTTTAGTTACCTCTTTTTTTTTATTTTCTCTGAATCAACCTTTCTTATGCAATTTTCACAGTTGAGAGGAATTGTGCAATTTCTACTCAAAAACTCAAAGCAACATTTGATTTAATCTGCAATATTACACCACAGGTCATTATCCTTTGTTCTATAGTGATAAACTGCAGATTTGTAGAAAGGTTATTTTTAGCTATCTTTTATTTGGCACAACTGACTTCATTTTGTGAATATTATCAAGTCTTTTTATGAAACTATCAACATAACAACGTATCAGCAAATGATAAGATCTAAACAGTTGTGATAAAATTATCACCAAAAATTTACTTATTAGGGACACTGTAAAGGGGCGTTGCATTCACTTTGCTGTGTCATTATGATGAAGCAATGTAATAAACACAACAGCTGAAATCTTTTTATTTTCTTTTAAAGCACCTTGGTAAAGTGATCTGGACTTTGTGTATGGTAGAGTTTTTCTCTTTTTCTTTTACATTTTTCTTGTTGAAATTTTTTAGAATTTTTGTCTAACCACTACTTATTTGGTAGCACTGTATCTCAGATACAATGGGTAGTGAATTTCTGTACACAAGTCTAAGTCATATACTAATTAAAAATCAGGTTACATTTCACCAGGTCAACATGTAATTGAATATCTGAGAGATAGTATTGTCTGTTTTATGGGTAATTGATTATTAGGGAGTTAGTATTGTTTGTTATGTGTATTTATGTGTAATTGGTGATCGGGGGTGGGGTGGGGTGGAGGGGGGTTAGTGTTGTCTGATTTACATGTAAGTTGATGATCAGAGAGTTAGTATTGTCTAATTTATGTGTAATTGATGATCAGGGGGGGACAGGGGGGGGGGTTAGTGTTGTCTGATTAATGTATCAATTAATGATCAGGGAGTTAGTGTTGTCCGAGTTCTGTGAAATTGATGATCAGGGGGGTGGGGCAGGGGGGTTAGTGTTGTCTGATTTACATATAAATTAGTGATCAGGGAGTTAGTATTGTCTGATTTGTATCCTTTTCATAATCTATGCAGTTTGATTTTTTTCACCATGTTTTGTTCTACACCAGCACAGGATCTTTAGATGTCTGTCCATCACAGTCATTTCACACTGGGTATTGCATTCAGTGCTATCTATTGAATTGTGAAATTACTAAACATAATGATGTCTGTCAGAGAATCAGTTTAAGGTATACGTGATCAACATATCTCCTTAATTGTATGATGATTTCTTTGGAATTTATGTCTATTTTTAATACATTTATCACATTTGAGTTTTTTTAATGTATTTTCAGAAACTTCGTAAAATTTCGAATTTTTCTTTCACTTATTTTTTTTCCCTGAAGTTTGAATTTTCTCTTTCTCCAGACTTGGTGACTCAATGGTAATTGGAGAACTATCCACCAGTCACAGAAATTTAGACAATTCAGCAATACATATGTCCAAGTTCAAAAGAGATCAGGAGGATGCTTTATCTGACCGATGACAAAGGTGATAAATGACCCAGCTTTTTGTGCCTTTGGTACCAATATAAGGGTACTGTTTTATTTTATGAGGATTATCAGGCACTTTCTTGTGTAAAACCTCCAAACTGTTGTGAGTACAGTGTGGGTACAGTCTCCAGAGCAGATTAAAACATATCTGGGTGAAAGGGACTACCTCAAATCATTAAGCACATCAGTCAACGGTCTCAAAGTGCTCATGCATATGTGTCAACCTCCGTCCAATAAGCCATCCGGTGAAGAGACACAATAATACAATTACACCAGTCTGATACCCTGGGCTTCTAGAATTTTGGGCCCGATGGAAATTTTATAGATGTCACTTCATTTGGATTGTGACGTGAATAGCTGAAAATTCACAATGAAATTATGCCACTAACTTTTAGAATGACAGTGTCAATACAAAATGTCACACAAGTCTGGACAGGGTCAGTATGTACCATGATAATGTTTTCATCAAAGAAACAGCAGTAATAACTGTCCAAGTTTTATTTTTACAAATGTGTAATAACTTTGGAAATATCATTTAGTTTCTTACAATAATGTCATGTTTCTTGTACCTGTGTTCAACTTTAAGAAAAACTTTATTCTGAATGGTGAAAGTTTAGGCCTATTTCACTTTTCCTTGTTTGATTACCAATTCATGATATATAGGATTTAGCAAATTTCTAAGGTAAAGGTCAAATTCATCATTCCCATAAATGAAAGGAAATTTCTCAAGTACTGTCAAATGAATGAGTAAATACAATTTGTATAATCCTGAATGTCCTAGTGTTCTAGTTTTATACCATTTTCTTTTTACCCATAATGAAATTAGCTGCATGGTGACCTCATGATTTAACTTAGAAAGACCTATATCAAGAAAATGAAATGTTGCAAAATTTTCATTTATGTATTTATCTTTACCTATCTACTGGCAAGCGTTATTGCTCAAAAATATATTTATACATATATATTTAACATATCAAATCAAAATAATTTGCAATTAAATTATTTTTGTACACAGTTCTGTACTGCATGTTGTTATGACAATATATAGTTGTTTGTAAGAATGTGTAAGTAGTAGATGGTCAGTATGGCTTGTCATTTTAATGTATTTATAAAGACTACAATATTAAATATGAATGAAACAAAAGCAAGATTTTTGTGTGGTCTATTTTTAGCCCACCACCATTGACCATCAAATTGTCTGTGGTCTGACATACAAAATTTCTGTCATCGCTATTTATTGAGAATTAGTAAATGGATCTTTATTGAACTTTATATAAAGGTCCCCCTTGGTCCCTATTGGTGACTGCTTAATTTGTGTCTGATCAAACAAAGAGGTTGACCGACCTCAATTTGAAATTTTGACAATGAAAGTATATTTCTGTTTTCTGGAGAAGACCTTGATGGATATTTCTCCAATTTCTTCTCAAAAGTACATTTCCCTTTGCTTTTTGTGAGTGTCCACTCAATACCGAGACAGATCATAAAATATCTGATAGATGTGCAGCCATATTGGATTTACATACATAATATGTTTGTTATCGCTTTTTTAACATAGTATTTCGTGCAATGTTCTTAGATTTCATTTATAGGACTCCCAACTTGTCCTTATTTGTGCACCCGACAGTCATTCTTTCATAATATTATCTATAAGTTTCCCTGTTCCAATGATGTCACCAAATGATTGATTCACCTGTCAATTCAATATATACTGTGTAAATTTTTTGTTGCTGCATGTATCTAATTAAGCGACACTTTCAGAATTTGCATGTCTTGTACTGTTAATTGTAAATGTATGAGTCATACACCTGTAGAGTTCACGTACCGATATGCACCTGAACAATTTCTAGTCCTGAATATATACACCTGTAATAATTAAATACTAATCAGTTCGTAAATTTTGAAATCTCTTATCTGGATTGACTAGTCAGATCTCAGGTTGATGTCAGAATATAGACTGGAATATATGTAAGCTATGTCCATTCTGAAGTATGTAAAAATCTTTAAAAGAGACATTTCAAATTTCTGATACCATGAAATGGCAAAATAATAAAATACACAAAAGTTACGAAAGGCACTTTTTGGGAAATGAGCACAGTGCCAAAAATATCCTGATTACGGTAAGAATAAATAAGAGAGAAGGGGAAAATTCCTTCTTAAAGAACCAACCAGGTGTTACTATGGTGGGTGCCAATATTTCTGGGATTTCTTTGCAATAATAAACTGGATATCTTTTAGACAAGGGGTTATAGGACCAGTATCATACAATTGTTTCAACTTAAGCACACAAAGGATACTATCTTCATTCTTCATCTTTACAACCAGTGATTCCCTTACCTACACCATGACTTATTGAAGTTTTTTTTGTTGATTCATAAGATATCTATAAGGTAATATGATACTGACTTATCTCAGCAGTTGAAATCAGACTCATGGGCATCATTTTTCATCTGAATATGTCTTCCTGCTAATAATATAGTTATGGACAATTTAATTAAGGAATCACAATCGTTTCATCCTGAGGAACTCTCGAGGCCAGTCATGGTTGAGTTGTCATGTTTTTATCTTTATGTTTATATCTCCATAAATATTTGTTGATAAAGTTTTGTGATGAGAATGTTACACCCATGTTTTGATCAAGATTACAAGTTAGTGGATTACATCGCTTGCAGAATGTGTGGTATTAAGGTTTCAGGGGAGAAGGATGTAAAATTGTACCATTATTTCAATATCAGGTCCAACCTTGATCAGGCTTTGTGAAGTAGCAAAACCTTCATTTCTATAACTGTATTGTTGCCATAACAATATATTTATATCTAACACATTGACGTGAACAATACAGTCATGTCACAAACACAAACAATATCCAAAAGCCGAATATTGTGGTAAAAGCTACTTGAGGTGTCTCCTCTGCAAACACCATTACAGACTCTGGATTCACCATAGCACAGATACTTTGTAGTTACTCAAAAGTAACACATAGGCTGTTATGATGAGGTTACCACTTTTGGTGATGAATTGCCTCATAACAACAATGTCTTAAATAAAGCTTATGAAATAGTAAATAACACAGCACAGAAAGATCAAGTGCCCAAGAACAGATGTTGAGAAGGAACATTTTTTTGGAAGATACTGAGAGAAAAGGTTTAGAAAAAATGAGTACTACTGTAGAGAATACATACAATGCAATAGAAGAGACAAGAAATTGGAAATGCATGAAAATGATTTAACAACTTCACATGCATATAAGGAGGATCTCTAGAGATGGGAAGGAATCAGATTTCAGCAGCTGATAATCATTAAAGATAAAGCAAACGGGTTGGAAGGATGACTAGGAGGAAAGCACAGTTTGCCGATTCAAGATTGAAAATAAAACCTGTTTTGTGGGAGAGTTCCAGTGAAGAAATTGAACATTAAATGAGAAACATACTTTCTAATCTAGACGAGGTAACACCACCGAGAATTTTCTGATTTGTGCCTTAACGTTCCATTTAGGCCTACTAGTTACCTGAGAGAGCTGTGCGTGCAGTATTAAGGACATCAAAGTCAAGGTCAGAACCAGGCAGAAGTCGATTGTCACAGCGTGTGTTTTAGTGGCGTCTCGGGTTATTACTAATAAGACTATGAGTATTTTGAAAATAAAGTGGAAAGAGACATTTCCTGACAACGGGTACAAATTAGAACGATATTTTAGTTCACTGTTAAAAAAAGTATAAATGTTTATGAGACAAGAGACGGTTCTAAACTGTTAAACCACTTTCTATCTATGTTAAATGGAAGATCTTTTATAACATATTCATGCAGTGTAACCACTATATCGACACACCAGCCGAGAAGAGGGTGATACCCAACACTTCTCAGGGGCGCGGAACATAATGGAGCCGTGGAGACTTGGTAATGAATCGACTGTATCACAAACACCTTCTACATCACATGACAGGACTTGGATGAGGCCAGAAGTGACAAGTATGTAGCTGTCTCCTATTCTGTTTGTGGTGACGATGAACATTATGATTAAAACCATGGAGAGGGAGAGTAAAAGCTAGAAATTCGGCATTAATCAACCCTCAAACGGGCGGTGATTAAGGCGTGGTATCTGCCTGTACTGGACTCTTATGCTGTAAGATGATAGGGATGAAAAAATAATGAAAAAAAACCAAAAAAAAACATCGAGAACACGGATATTCCTGAAAAATTACAAGGAGAATAAGACCAGGTGTTCTGGAAGAGTAAGCATCTTCTGCTTCATCGACGACGCCCGCCATGTAAACCTTGGTCAATCCAAGCAAGTAATGTCAGCTTATTAAATGAGAACAAGGTTAAAACAACGGAAGCAACAGGCAAACTAACGAGCATCAAATATGTCCAGCTGCATATCGTACAAATAAATAGAATATTTCTCAATGAGATTACTATGGCTACAATAAAACTTCTCCCATAATTTTCATTCACCTGCATCTTTTGAACTCTGTGTTTTGAGTTTGTCCATCCGTTGACGACTTCTTGCACGGAAATCGTGATAATGGGAACAGGTCTTTAAATATCGAATCAGCAGCGACATGAAACACCATAGCTTTGGGATGTATTGTTATTCAAAAATGGGAAATTCACAATAGAGGAATCGAAATCATCACGTTTATCATACAGCTTGATGAAAAGCTATCCATGTTGGTTTTTTTGTAGGAAAATATCGAGATAAGCAGCTGATGTAGAAGAGTCGGTCTTTGATTTCCGATTCTGGTCGGTATATACGATTGACGTGGTCAATAGATTTCGTATCTAGATATAATATATCAATATATCTAAACGTGAAATTAAACGACTTTGAAAGGTCATGGCCTGCTTTTATAAGCTCTTCCGTGAATTCAGCGTCGTATGAAAACAAAACCAAGTCAGCCAACAGAGGGGCGCAGTTTGTTCCCGTAGGTATGTCAATAGTCTGTTGAAAGATCTTAGCACCAAACTCAACAAAGATGTTGTCAACCAGAAAGTCGATCATTTTTAAGATTTCGTCCTCCGTATATTTCTTCTTTGATTTGGACGGACATATTTTTTTTAACGAAATGCGATTCACAACCTTATATCTGTACCGCCGTTCAACTTTCTTGGAGAAGGAAGCTCTCAAGAATATGGGGTGTTCCTTCTGCTTTGAATGATGTATGGTGGTGTACAGGCTAAAAAAACCATGTGTTCCTATAGAAGAAATGGCTTTTATGAGAGATTGTTGAAGATTAGTCAAAAGCTCTTTGGGGTTCTTCCGAACCCCACCTGCTGTGCAATCCACTTCTTGAGTAAACACATTTAGACTGTAACCCAGATTTGATAGTACTTAGAATGGTTGTTTGTAGTTTTGACAAAGGCTTAGTTGTACAACTGGACGAGCCAGCAATGAAATGTTGTTTATATGAATTCTTGTGAAGTTTATGAACTCAATATAAACTGGGGAGGTCCATAGGCTGATCATTAATAGGCAATCTATATAATTGTATTACCGAAACATGTTTAGCCAAGTCCAGTTTTTTTGTATACAGGAAATGTAACAATGTTTTAAGAAAATGATCAAGTTATTGGACGACTTATCTGCAAGCGAAATAACATTCCTGTCATGTAAATCAGATCTGGAAGTGTGGATTTAACATCTAGATGGAGGAAAGTGTTTTTTATTTCATTTTATATTTCAATCAGCAAATTATTTTACGAATGATAGCCTAAATGGACTTAACTCCCTCAGAAAGAGAATCCATGGCAACGTTGTCTCGTTTTCGCCCTTTCTTTTGCATAGTTTTCAACAAAATCCATAAGTTCACATTCCAATTAACGAACGGGGTTTTACGATATTTTAGAACTCTTCATGGAAAGATCTCGAAGCTTAACATTTTGAATAAGGCTTCATTCATTAGTTACTATGTGCCGAGGGTGACCATAGTTATAAGTAGAGGTAGGACAAGAACAAGCCGACGAAGAAGTAGTTCTAAGGTTTTCTACATTCAGTTGTTGTAGCGTTTGTTTGTTGTCGGAAAGTTTGGATGCAATTGGCTTGGAGTAACAGTAGGAGTGTTTCTGATTTGAAAGTATGGTAGAATGTTAGCCTAACTAGACTTCTGGTGTGAAAC